CAATCTAGTGGCAGAAAAAACATTATTCTCTATAATATTGATATATGTAGTTTTACTAATTTGCATTAAAAATGCAACAGAAAATATACCAGAAAATATACCAGAAAAAGAAAATTTTTTTAAATTTCATAGTAGGGTACTAACCTTGTATAAAACACAAAATGAAAAGAAAAAAAATGGAAAATGTTTGTAGGCAAACCGAAGATCAAACATTTTAGTCACCCAAAATTTTTTGAAAATTGAACAATTCTTTAATTTGGACGAGAAATCAGAATTTGAAAATGTCTCTATTGTAGAAACTATATTCTGTAAAGAAATCTAATACTTACTGCAGTAAATATTTACTGGAGTTTCGTAGATTTTATTTTGTTTTTACATTTCTCCTCAGAATAGTGATAACCAAGGAATGTATTTGCTTATACACAGCGAAAACCAGAAAACTCTGAAACGGGAAGACGACTTTTATAATCAATTTTTAGCCTTAAAAAGTCCACTGATTATGAGAAACAGCATTGTGCAGTGAAAACAGACCCATTTTACTAAATTAGTAATTTAATAAGTGTCCTGCAATAAAACTATTTGCTTTGTAACAATATCAAATACAAGTATTTCTATAATGTCGTCTTAATATTCAATTGTTTTCTGTTTATTACTGTACCTCCCAGGAACTGTTGGTGACTTTTGTGAAAAGAAATATGTGGGTCGGGGGTTCCGAGGAAATCTTTATATTCCTCGGTCATCAAATGTTTTATTAAGGACAAGAGCATTATAAAGAGTTATAATCACCACAGATATATCAATTACACATTAATATATCTATGTGGAGAACTATCTAAACAGAAACAAATAAATATACATACAGGGTGAGTAATAAAAATGTGATTTGAGACGCCTGGTGCAAAATTGTACCTTTTTTGTGCAACTCTCCTGTATGGTGTTTTTTCAATATTATTTGAAAATTTGTAAATTTTTTTGGTACTCCAATGGCCCAAAAGAAAGTCCGCGAACCTTTTTTTCTCTCAAAATCAAAAGTTCAGAAAAGCAAAAATGTGTTTATAAATTATTTCTATCGAAATCTTAAATTTTATAAAGATTGAACCAAAGAATCAAAGAAAATTCGCAAAATTGTAATAAGAAAATTCGCAATTTTTAGTTCTGGTCTAATTTTTAAGGAAAAGTAATCTAAATTCTCTAGTTCCTTTCTTCTTAGTATATTCTAAAGTATTAAATATACGCTGTTCAGTTGAAACCTTAAGAACCATTGAAAAAAAAAATTCCGTAAAAATTATACTAGAACTGAAAATTGCGAGTTTTCCAATTACAATTTGCAAATTTTCTGAGATTCTGTGATTCAATCTTTTTAAAATTTTAGATTTCAATAGAAACAATTATTTACACATTTTTCAAAAAATTTCAAAAAATATTGAAAAACACCTTACAGGAGAGTTGCACAAAAAAAGGTACATTTTTGCACCAGGCGCCGCAAATCACACTTTTTTTACTCACCCTGTAGTAGCAGGGGCGCAGTGGGGGGGGGCGAGAACCCCAGTCCCCCCCTAGTCAGACTCCCCCTGATCAATTGACAATGTGCAGGGGCGGATACAGGATTTAAGAGAGGGGGGGGGGCAAGATTTTTTAGTGACAAAAAAATTCATAATTAGGAACAAAAAATCGCGCTGCAGGCGATATTTTTTTTTGACTTAAAAGAATCAAAAAGAGTCAAAATTAATGACTAAAGACTAAAAAACTAGATTTTTAACTTTCCACACATTATAGTTTATTAAGACAGATATTTTTCCTCTTTTGCACTAGGGTTTCTTTCCCTTAAGCATGCTATTGAGAAGCAATGCTGAAACTAGGAACAAAATATTCCAAATTCAGGGGGGGTTACGCCCCTCCCTGAATCTGTCAGGGGGTGGCGAATGTCCCCCCGCCCCCCCCCCTGTATCTGCCCCTGACAATTTGTCCATTTTATGATAATTTCTCACACACTATAAATTAGACTTTAATGTTATTTACAATTATTTGCTGGGTTTTATTAAAAATTCATATTAGAGTTTAGATGTTTGATCCACAGTTAAGGAAAGTTTTATTATAATAAGAAAAGTAAAGAAGGTTTTGAACAGGGGGAGAAGGGTCACCTTTTTCACATTTTCTGACCTTTTTATTCGATATTTTTTAAAACCCGCCCTGGCACCCGAACTATTAAAGTTAGAGGTCTAAATATTTTTTCAATGAGCTACCTAATAGAATTTTGGGTTTTGCTTGGGGGCCTGGGATGCCCCCCCCCCCCGTATACATAATTTTGATAAACAAAAAAAGTTAACTTTTTGAATGAATCTTGATTGATAAATGACTCATATGTATGACCATGTAGCATGTAGAATGTCGGATTTAGATGTGTTAAAAATGGTTTGATTTACATTTATTCAGACAGGCATAACATTAATTAAGAACTTTTTTAGGTTCTTAATCATCAAGAAAAAGTATTAAAGAGGGGAAGAAGTGTCTCTAGAGATTTAAGTACTTGATTTTTTAAGTTTTCTAAATAATTTCCAAAAAAGAGGAACCAAAAAATTATAATTTGAGGGCTAGCAATTATTCAACTAATATTAGAGAAGGTGACATATACTTACTTTGCGGTGATTTCTTGAGTTAAAAAATTTTAAGAAAACATTTGTGTTCTTCAATCTTCAAACATGTCAAGGATACCTAGACTGTACATTTGTGTTCTTCAATCTTCAAACATGTCAAGGATACCTGACTGTACATTTAAAAATACTAGAAGAGATTTGTGTTCTTCAATCTTCAAACATGTCAAGGATACCTAGACTGTACATTTGTGTTCTTCAATCTTCAAACATGTCAAGGATACCTAGACTGTACATTTGTGTTCTTCAATCTTCAAACATGTCTAGGATACCTAGACTGTACATTTAAAAATACTAGAAGATATTTGTGTTCTTCAATCTTCAAACATGTCAAGGATACCTAGACTGTACATTTAAAAATACTAGAAGAGATTTTTGTGAGAGAATTAGGGTATAAGTTATTTCATTAAATGTGCTGATGGGGAAATTAATTGATTTATGGAGTGGTTCCGGATATGGGGGGGAAGGAGAATATTCGACGGAAGGAAGTGGAAAAGGGAGNTTTGTAAATTATGGGGAGGGGGACAAATAAGTTAAAATGTAAAAGAGATAATTTAGTATACGACGATCAGATATTTTTGTGATCGTGACAAAAAATTTATAAATCCTTAAGGAGTCTTTGCCACAAACTCAAATTTTCTAATCTCTTATCTTTGCAATATCTGATGGTGTATACCTTGCACTATTCAGTATTAACTTTATACCAAAACCAAGGGATATGTTGCTCAGGCCTACAGACAGATCTTACTTCCAGCATGGATTTGTGCGAAGTGCATCAATTATTATCCTTATTCAAGACCTACCAATAGCTAAACAGAGTGCATAAAAAAGTCTGAAAACGCCTACCCAAACTAAAAAAAGTAATTAAATATTTTGGTGGGAGGCAAGAAAAAAAAAGAATTAAAGATGAAATAGAACAAAAGGTAAATATAGGAAGCAACAGAAGAGAAGTAATGAGTGAAGAGAGGAAGGAAAGGGAGAAATAAACGAATAAAATAAGGAATGTATGAAAGTAAGATTAAAAAAAAAGTAATCAATGAAGGAATGAAGGAAAGGAAATAAAGAATGAATGGAGCAAGGAAATGGATAAAAGGAAGAAAAAAGAAAGTAATGAATGCAAAGAGGAAGGAAAGAGAGGAATGAACTAAAAGAAGGAAAGGAAGTAATTAATGAAAGGAGAAATTAAATGAATGAAAGGAAGAAGAAAAAAGAAATAAATAGAAAGAAAGGGAAGTAAGCGATGAAAGAAGGAAGTGAAGGAAGTAATGTATGAAAGGAGAAAGAAAAGCAAGTAATTATTGGAAGTGGGAAGGAAAGGAAGTAAGTAATGGAAGGAGGAAGGAAAGGAAGTAAGGAATTAAAATAAGAAGGAAAGCTAGGTAGTGAGGAATTAAAAAAAGTAGGGAAATGAGAAGTAAGGAACGGAGTGAGGAAGCAATGGAAGAGAAGTGATGAAAGAAAGTAGTGAATGAAAGGAAGAAGGGAGAAAATAAAAATATAACGAATTGAAAGAAGGAGAAAGGAAAAGAAAAATGAAGATAAGAAAGGAAAGACAAAATGAATAAAAGAAAGGAGAAAAGCAAGGAAGTGGTGACTGAAAGGAAAGAGGAAGGAAAGGAAGGAAAACTACTTTGTGTAATGTGTAGAACTAGAAGAGGATATTACAGGCTATAATTCAACCAGGCAATATTCGAAAACAAGATAAAATATTGGAAACCCTTTTCCGCCAGAAATTATGAATATTGAAAACCCTTTTCCACCAGAAAGTATAAATATTGGAAACCCTTTTCCACCAGAATGTATGAGTATTGAAAACCCTTTCCGCCAGAAAGTATGAATATTGAAAACCCTTTTCCGCCAGAAATTATGAATATTCGAACCTTTTTCCGCCAGAAATTCTGAATATTGGAAACCCTTTCCTGCAGAAATTATGAATATTCGAACCTTTTACCTCCAGAAATTATGAATATTGGAACCTTTTACCTCCAGAAATTATAAATATTCGAACCTTTTACCTCCAGAAATTATAAATATTGGAACCATTTTAACGAAAGAAATTACGAATATTGGACACCAGCTTTTTGGTGTAAAGAACGAATATTGAGGAACCCAATTCTATTGGGCTATAGAAAAGTTAAGACCTGTCAATATAAAAAAGTCTATAATTACTGGTTTAAAAATAAGAGTTAGAACATTTCCGGTGTTCTTAATGGGCCCTCTTTTTTTCCTTGTAAGCTTATTTTGTTGTATTAAAAAGAAACTTCAAATAAATGTGTTACATACACTATAAAGTATATTCTCTATACACAGAAATATATTCAACAAAATGAGTAATTCTCTGAACCTGTATACACCATAGTATTTTATTTACATAATTTATATACAGTACTCTACACTACAAACAAATATGCTTTTGTTTTATTTTATGTCCAAGATATTTACATCACATAGTCCATAGTTTTCTTTTTAGCATTGTTTAGTTCACTGTCACAACTCCCCTCCCCCCCTTCTTTTCAATTTTAAGAAAATTCTTTTTGTGAGAAAGGTATTTTGAAAAAAGGGGTGTGGTATTGGTTGAAAACAAATACCCTTGGCTTTAAGCGTTTATTGTTTTATCTGGCTTTTAAACTGCTCTGGAACAAAATGAAAATTAATAATTTAAAGTTTTCTTTTATTATGATTATTGCAACGGTTTTATTGAAATAAAACATAGGATGCAGAATCAAAAAAAAGATGATTTATTTGTTTCGCCATGTCAGAGAAACCATCTTAAAAGAAATCTATTTGAGCATTTATTATAGATTGGATCTAAAAACAACTCCTGCATTTATCCCAATATATCTCCTGATGGGAGTGTTTAGGAGGATTTGGTTAATTTCTTATCTTATTCTTGAAAAAAATAATAATCACTAATGACATTAAACTTTGGGGAATTTTGAAGTCAATTTATGTATATACTTTGTTGAAGGCCAACATTTGCAGGCGCGTATACAGGATTTAAGCCCTGGCCTTAAAAATACTGTTATTTTATATTAAGTCTACTACAAGTCCATTGTAGTCCCGATTTAAGGACTTTATATTATAATATATCCCTTTGTATAGTTCTGTATTACTCCCTGAAGTCCTGAGTAGTCTCCTGAAGACTATTCTCTTTATTCTCTCCTTATTCTCCCCTACCTCTCCTCTCCTAATTTATTCTCCCCCTGGCCTTCTTGGGGGTTGCGGGAAGACATGCCAAACACTTGCATAATGCATATAGCTATTATTGTTTATCAAGTAGGGGGAGGGGCAGGGCGATATTAGATGAAAGTGAAATACTAAGGTAAAATTTAAAAATAAATGGCGCCAAGACCGTTTTTTTTTTTATTTTTAATGGAGAAAACACCCCTTTCCAGATGCGGTGCCCCCCCCCCCTGTATACGCGCCTGCTTTTGTGAAATTCATTTACTGGACCGCAAAAACTATGTATAAATAATTGTTCAACTATATAGTTAATTTCGTAATATCAATAATAATTTTCAGGGGAGTATATTCATGCACAGTAAGGAACCATAAAACTGTGGATTAAGGACTGTTGTTTTTTCTCCCTTTTTTGACAAATGTCGCTAGAGTTTTATAATTTGCAATTTTTACAGCTGATATATGTATGTTAAGAGCCTAGTTCAGCTATAAAATAAGAAATCCATGTCATTATCGACATTTTACAATAATGATATACAATAAAAAAGAAGACAGCGAGAATTCCGTTATTTTCTGGTTCTCACTGTAAAGTCATAAAACTTAAGACGGTTTTAAACGTTTACGTCACATGTATAACATTCTTCCATGTTTAATATTGTAATTAAATTCTAAAATGTACAAATAACTGATATTATGAATTGCATTTTGGCATGAGAAAAGTCTTTTTTTCTTGTATATTTATTAGGAAATAAGTTGGATCTTTTTTCTTTTTAGAAATTTTTACACAATCACCAAAATAAATTTCCCAAAAAGATTTTATTACATTTGCTTAGTGCGCTTAATGTAGAGTTTAAAAATAGTTATTTTCTCTGTTAAAATTCTTCATGTTTTAAAAGATTTGTATTAGACATTTGATGATAAAATTCACAAATCAGGCTTCCTGCTTCAATCCTTTGAATATTCAATGTTCAAATAAGAATGAAAATTCTAGTTTCACTGGTAAAAGTTTTTGTTTCTCCTTTAAATATTTATGGTAGGATCATAGTGCAGCTTCGACAACAATTTGTTTGGTAGTAGGAATATATACAGAGCCTTGATTTCACCACGATATTACAGTTTTTGAACTTGTCCGTGCACGGGGCACCCTTAACTGGTTTAACCGGTTTACTAGACACCACGTCGTTGCTCAGAACAGCTGACGACACTCGAGAGAAGTCGTCTTCAATGCCCGACTTTTTCACAGATTTTTCTCCTGAAAAAGAATTTTAGATTATTTTCATCATATGCTTATTTCGAAGTTTTTTCTTTTAAAAATAATTATAATAATAATAATAATAATTTTGATTTAACTGAACAGTTGCCACAAATTAATAATTTCAAATTCCTAAATCTTTGAAAATTTAAATTATGAATTTGGTCTGAAGTTTGAAATATCTGGTTATAAATATATAAAAAGAGGACATTAGAGTTAATTTCATTCCTTTAATCAAACAATTTATCATCTACGGTTTAGGAATAGTTTAGATAAAAGTAAGCTGCATCGAGTTGGGTTGAAAAAAACTCTATTAGGGTAAAATAAAGTAAACATGAATTTGTATAGCACCTAAACCCTCCAAGGATTCCAGGTTTGGAGAAACATCTCTGAACTCTGGTTCCTCCAGATATTCATCATATTCCTCCCAATCCTTCTCCTCCTCATCCTCTACATCATCAACCTTATCCTCCTCAACCCCTCCTTCAGCCAAACACTCACCCTACAAATGTATTCTTAAATAAAGATGTTTTAATGTTTCAGTACATATAAAGGATATAAGGATTATTTAGATAAATTATCACAATTTTTATTTTCCCAACTTAATGAAAGGCAGATTATCCTAGTTCTTCTGGAATCCAATTTTGTTAGAGGCAAATCTTCAAAAATTTGATCATCCACAAACCTTTCCTGGGGTTACACGAGGCCCCACAAAAAGTTTGTGCCTGAACAGTTCAGCTGTTTTGACGTTTATTGGATACAAACGGACAGACAAACAAACAGACAGACAAGCAAAATATACATAGAATTTCCTGGTTTTAATGATTCGATACTGGATATTCTATGCATACAGGTAGATCAATTAAACATTAAACAGAGATTTGCACAATTTTACAGTGGTTTCCAAATAAAGAGGAAATGACTGTCGTCGTATTTTTTCATAATTAAAGGGAATGTAAGCGAAGTTTCAAAGATGCCAATTTTATAACGGTAACCTTAAAACCTTAATCTGATCGAAAATGTGGAAGATAACGTAGTTGCTTTGACTCGAAAAGTGTTTATTTCTGATAATTTCTTCAGTCTTTCTTATTCAGTCTTTCTTATGAGCAAGAAAAGCGCAATTGTGACTTTTGCAGAGAAACCACATATATAAACAATACCATGGAGATCCCATTCATACTTGTTCAGAAAAGATTTGTAAGAGTACTGTTGTAAATCGGACCTAGCTATCTTTGTATGGGCCGGGGGGTGACAGTCAAATTGCAAACCCTTTAAAATAAAGAAAAATACAACAACCACTAAACTGTTTTCAAAACACATTTTTTTTAATGGATATTTTCTCGTTTTTTGCTGTATCCTTTTTTTCTCTAATCATCGGTTTAAAAACTTATTTCCCCTCTAAAATCAATGCCATGTGCTAACAAAATGATCTTGAGAAGTTGAGTGTAGAAAATGTATTAAGCTTGATTTACACTTTGCACTGACAGCATATGTTTAAGTGCCTGAAATAACAGAAAATTTATCTTGCTCTTGAAAATACTGATTCACAAATTATTAAAGAAAATGTTTAATTTCAAAATATGTTCGATGTAAAAATTTCAATTTTGAAATGCATCTGTATAGAAGTATGAGAGATGGGTCTTAAATCTAAATTTTCAACTTTTATTAAAGCTTTGACCTATTCCAGTTAAACTGATCCCTGACATAAAGTTGAAAATTAAATATAAAATTTCTTTTCTGCATTTCAACAAATTGACTACTATGGCAGTTCTGTCAAAACTTTCAAATCCGCCAAATTGTTTGGTTTCCCTGATAATTTCTTTTTGTTTGAAACATTACATAGATTTTAGAAAAAGCTCTAAAATCCTTAAGAACGCAAAGAAAAGTTCTTTAACATTGCAATTCTTTTCTATAAAAAGAGCTTAATTTCTATAGTTTTTTTATTTTATACATTTTGTTATCTATCATCATCCTTTATCACCAGGATTCTCCTATATATTCTATTATCATCACACAGATTATGATAGTTAGTCCAATATGAATATTAGTTAACCTTGCATGGTTTACTGTTCTCTGGCCTATCCTTCTCCTTGCAGTTATTTAAAAACCGGTTTGTTGAATCCAAACACGTGACTTCTCTCGTCATCTGTCCCTCACCACACTCAGCAGAGCACTAAATACAGAATTATTGATAAAGTTTAGCAAAATCAAGCATCTAGGCAAAATATTCTGATAAAGTTTAGCAAAATCAAGCATCTAGGCAAAATATTCTGATAAAGTTGAGCATAATCAAGCATCTAGGCAAAATATTCTGATAAAGTTGACCATAACCAAGCATCTAGGCAAAATATTCTGATAAAGTTGAGCAAAATCAAGTATCTAGGCAAAATATTCTGATAAAGTTGAGCAAAATCAAGCATCTAGGCAAAATATTCTGATAAAGTTGAGCAAAATCAAGCATCTAGGCAAAATATTCTGATAAAGTTTAGCAAAATCAAGCATCTAGGCAAAAAATTTTGATAAAGATGAGCAAACCAAGCATATAGGCAAAATATTCTGATAAAGTTGAGCATAATCAAGCATCTAGGCAAAATATTCTGATAAAGTTGACCATAATCAAGCATCGAGGCAAAATATTCTGATAAAGTTGAGCAAACCAAGCATATAGGCAAAATATTCTGATAAAGTTGAGTATAACCAAGCATCTAGGCAAAATATTCTGATAAAGTTGAATAAAATCAAGCATCTAGGCAAAATATTCTGATAAAGTTGAATAAAATCAAGCATCTAGGCAAAATATTCTGATAATGTTGACCATAATCAAGCATCTAGGCAAAATATTCTGATAAAGTTGAGCAAAATCAAGCATCTAGGCAAAAAATTTTGATAAAGATGAGCAAACCAAGCATATAGGCAAAATAAATCAAGCATCTAGGCAAAATATTCTGATAAAGTTGAGCAAAATCAAGCAGATGAGAAATGATAGAAAACATAAAAGATTTCAATCTTACGTGAAATTTACTTTAGTTTGACGTGACAACTGTTAAATTGAAATTGTCGTATTATACATTTAATTTTGTTTCTTTAAGTTTGTGTAATCTAGCCCGCTAAGCCTGCTAGGCCGGGTTTGATCGGAATATTGATAACAGATATATAGATAGAAGTTGTCTGTAATACTGGAATTGTGTAAATGGGTTTGAAATTAGAATTTCTCTATGAACAGAATCTAACTTAGAACCAGGAGAAACTTCTAGTTATTAGTCTTATTCAAATGCAAATAGAATATGATTCAATGCTATAATTAAAATCAGATAGCAGGCAGAATGAAGAGAACAAGAGAACTTGAAACAGCAAACTCCAAAATCGCAGTGAAGGCCTCAACATTTAGAAAATATTGTGAGCAAGTAAAAGGGAGAAATATCTAGAAAACTAGAACTAGATATCTACAGATGTAAATATCCAGGAAACTTGAGAGCTAATTATCTATAGATGTAAATATCTAGGAAACTAGAGAGCTAATTATCTATAGATGTAAATATCTAGAAAACCATAGAGGTAAATATATACAGATGTAAATATCTAGAAAACTAGAACGGTAGATATACAGTTGTAAATATCTAGGAAAACTATAGAGCTAGATATCTATAGATGTAAGTATCTAGAAAACTACAGAAATATATAAAGAATTATATAAAGGTGTATATATCTAGAAATCCGTAGAGGTAGATATCTACAGATGTAAATATCTAGAAAAGTATAGGACTAGATATCTACATATGTAAATATCTAGAAAAGTATAGAACTAGATATCTACAGATGTAAATATTTAGAAAAGTCTAGGACTAGATATCTACAGATGTAAATATCTAGATAAGTCCAGGGCTAGATATCTACAGATGTAAATATCTAGAAAAGTCTAGGACTAGATATCTATAGATGTAAATATCTAGAAAAGTATAGGGCTAGATATCTAGAAAGTTTAAGAGCTATGAAGCTTGAGTTTGTTTGTGTCCTAACTGTCCATCTGTCTATATACTCCAAACTAACTTCACAGACCTGACAGCTTGGGATTTCTTTAAACTTTATCAAATTATCAAAAGAAAAAAACTTTATCATTCATTCACCCCGAACCTTAACCGTAAAACAATAGATAGTTTTCTTAATTTAAATCAGATTAATATAAATCAAGAAGAGATAAAAATTGGTATAGTTCATATTATTACCTTACTCCAAGGTGTTGTAAACCACGTAGGTTTACATGCTTGTATCTTACACTTCCTAGATTCTCTAGGTTTTCGTCTATCTTGACATAAATCCACGTTCACAATTTTACTCAGGGTACCAGGCTCAGTTGTAGATAGACTGTTTCTGATCACGGTTTTGTTCCTGAGCTCCGGGTCCTCTTGGATACAGAGAACAGGACGGGTTTGAACTCCTTCTCCACATGTATGGGAGCATCCAGTCCATTTACCTGGAGACATCAAGAATTTACTTAAATCTTGAATAAGCAAATATGTGCTTGTTTTAAAGAATGATTAAAAGCAAAAGAATCCTGAAATCAACAAAAATATTGAATCAATGAATCATTGAATTGAAGCAAATTAAGTAAACAATGCATAAAATCAATGAATCATTGAGGCAATGAACCAAGAAATTCAAAAAAACTAATGAAAAAATATATGGATGAATAAGTGATCTATAAATTCGTGATTTTTTCAATGAAAAAGTTATTCAATAAATCAAATGAGTTAATAACAAATCAAAGAATTGCGATTGAATGAAAAATATCAAGAAGGGGGGGGGGGATAAATTGTCCGATTTTTTTTTAATATAGCATAGGGAAAAGTGGGTGAATTGTAATATCGGGAAGACATGCCAAACACTTGCATAATGCATATAGCTATTATTGTTTATCAAGTAGGGGGAGGGGCAGGGCGATATTAGATGAAAGTGAAATACTAAGGTAAAATTTAAAAATAAATGGCGCCAAGACCGTTTTTTTTTTTATTTTTAATGGAGAAAACACCCCTTTCCAGATGCGTTGTTGTTATAATTTCAAGGGATCTGATCAATATTGTGAAGGAAATAGTCTTGTTGAATTTTGAAAACTTCCTCTAATGTTTCTGTAGCACAATTGAAAATAATTAGTTTTGAAAGTTTAACGACACGAAAATCTTATTTGAAAAAACATTTAATCCTTTTAAATGGATAAATTACCAAGAACATTTTTCCAATAATTTTGATGTCTCGATTATTTCAAAAGAAATTAACTGATTAGAACTTTTACAAAGGATATTTTAATCAATTTAAAAAATTCTGTAAATAACAGTTTTTAATCAGAATTATTATGTTTTTAATCAGAATTATTATGTTTTTAATTGACATGTATACATTATACATTATACATGTATAAACATTTGATTCAGTGATGTCTTACTTTTTTATTTGTCTTATACAACTCTATAATGTTAAGTTAAGATATAAATAATTTGTCTATTTTTGTTTCCTTTTAAGTGCAACAATGCAATATTGCAATCATTCTAAGAGCTTTGAACAATTATCTTCCTAATGGATTCACAAAAAACTTTACATATTTTCTATTTTACACAAACTTTAAAACTCAGCTTATAAATATTATCAGAAAACTTTCTGAATTAAAACAGAATATTGTGTGAGTTCCTCCATTAGAACAATTTGTAACCCAACTTTTATCTTTTTACAAACTATGCATGTTGATAGAAAATGAAAATTTGTAAATTATGAAAATACAAATTTTTAGTTATCAAATTTTTTTCCCCTGGTCGGTAAATATTTTTAAGAATTGACAAAAATACTAAATTTCTTTCTATTCTACCTTGATAAAGAAAAAAGGCGAATTTATTTATGTTATTATTTCAAATAATAATAATAATAATAATAATAATAATAATAATAATAATAAGGGCTCGAAAAACGGTTTTATACTACAAAGATCAACAATTTACCACGTGAAGAAAACGTGGAAAGATAAAACTAGTTAAGTAACTAGTACAGAAATTAAGTCTTTGTCACAAACTTAAATTTTCTTATCCCTATATCTTTGTAACCTGATGATGAAAACCTTTAATATTTCAAATTTTAAATAATTTATAGTTTAAAATATCTAAGGTCTACGACATTGCACAGATATACAGATTAGAGAATCAGAGTTTGAGGCAAAGAATCCATTCCGTTTGAATGGTATTATGTACTGTACAGTACCTGCTCCCAGGACGAGACGAGCCATCTATCAGCTGTACACGGCCCCATACCACAAAACCCTTCAGAGTCAGGCCTAGCCAGTTTCTCACATCTACACAATCAGGAATTTATCAGCTACGTCGTGGCTACATCATATTGTAAAATATTTAAGTACTTTGTCGTCCAGATGTTTTTTTAGATTTAAGCTGAAGTTTTGTTTATCTTGTGATGTCGAGACAGTACAAGATAAATATCCCAGTTCCATGTCATAACTTTATTTAACCCTGTGTAGTATGTACATTGTACAATGTATAATGTACTTGGGTAGTTGTATCTATATCCCAGTTGTATATCAATTGTGTAAAAAATAGGAGAAATCAAAGACGATTGATCACGCAAATTAGAATATTGATGCTTATACTTATAGTGGTCAGTGTGGAAAATAAAATGGCCAGCTGGGACAATAAAGTTGCCAGTTGGGATTATAAAGTGACCAGCCGGGATTATAAAGTGACCAGTCGGGATTATAAAGATGGGATGAGGAAGGAAAATAATGTGGTCATAAAAAATATTACGGATCAGCCTTTAGGGACGAAATAACATAAAATAGATAACGTAATATAACGTTTAACCTTTTTATATTGTCCAAACTTTGGTGATTCATGGAACCTTTCTCAACATAATTTCTTCTTTTCTTAAATGATAAATTATGAGATTGAGTTAAAATTTGAAATGAACTGCAATGAAACTAAGAGGAAGAGCTCTACTTGTTCATTTTATTGTTTTATCTGTTCTCCGAATTAAATTCTAGGCATGAATGATGCAAAACCAATGACCTGACCTTTAAATAAAACAAAAACTTATTTATCTTCTCATTCCATTTTATACCATTCTCCTGTTCATTTTGTGTTTAGCGAAAAGACGACATTTAACCTGAAATTCAAGGATTTTATCAAATTTTAAACCCACCTGGAATCTGGGACCAATCCTCCCCTGGTATCCACACAGTGAACCTGAAGAAAAATAATTTTATTTTATTTCAGTTTTCTTCATTATGATTCTCAAAGTAATAATAATATCGAAAACTTATTTTAATTATAGAGAGAGAGAGAGAAAAGAGAGCTAAAAAGAAATGCATAAATGGCAAAAATGAAATAAAAAATGCTTCTTCTTATTGTTTTTAATACATACATCGAAGCACAGGAGGATCGACGAAGCCAATTTTTTAATATTTGGTTTTGTGCTTTTATAGTCAAAATATTTAAGTTTATAATCTTAGATAAAAAATTTCCAGAAGCTTTTTAATCACAATTTTTAATTAAAAATACTCCACAGACCCCCCCCCCCTGTACAAAATTTCACGGACTAACTACAAGGTGAGATAAGTTAGTTTTCTTCGATTTGAAATTAATCCAGTTTTGGTCTATAATAAACTTGAGGATTCGTTTTTTTTACTTCTTTTATTTAAAACGTATCTGCCAACAAAAAGAGTTTAAAAGGGCAAAAGTGAAAAAATTATGTTTCATTTAATTGTGGTCGAAAGTCACAGCTTGCTGAAACAAGGACCGAACTGTTAGATTAGCTTTAACACAGTGTTATCCCTGTGGTATTATTAATTAACAATACATATGTTTGGTTTAAGTTTTGCTGGGATTAATTAAAAGCGAATGAATTAATTCAGAATTATTTAATAAATTTAAATGAGATCTCTGGATCAACAGCCAAACTTGGAAACTTCATTCCAATACGGAAACTTCTGGAAACATTGAAAATAAAATTTCAGGATTTTTTTCTAAATTTCTTAAGATTCAGCTTTAGGTTTTTATTATACTAGGCTTTCAGTGCGCTTCACGTCCATCTTCTTTTTCAATTGAACATTTTCTCATTGTATAAATTGTAAAACAAAAACAAGAACAAAGGTCGTAGATTTTATATAAAAAAATTTGTGGATTTTCAAAATTTAATAAAAATTTTGTTGGGGGCTAATTTTTGAAATTTTGATCATTCATAAACCTTCTATTGTGAACGTGTTCTCATTGTAAACATTGAAAAACAAAGAAGAATAGAATTTCGCGAATTTTATGAAAAAAAATTCGCGGATTTTCAAGATTTTACACAATTTTACAAAAATAAAAACTTTTAAACACAAATTTTGATCATTCAAAAACCTTCCCTGGGGTCACGTGAGGTCCCACATAAAATTTGGGCCCGATCGGTTCAGCCGTTTTGACGTTTATTGATTACAAACAAACAGACAGACAAGCTAAATTTATATATAGATATATATATAGATGTTGAATTATATATAAACAGAGTTAGTGAAACGATTATCTTCTTTCTTTATTTTTATTATGTCAAAATGTTTAGAAACACTTAAATAAGATTTTTATGGTTTTCATGAAGAAATAAGATTTTAGATTGAGAAACTATTTTTTGTAAAACTTCCATATTAGATATTTTTTGTAAAACTTCCATATTAGGTATTTTGCAGAAATAGTTTAAATAAAATCATAATCTTTTACCAGGGAAACAAAGAGAGAGAAGGGTGAAAGGGGTGGTTATAAATGCCAACAACGTTTGTGATGTAATTTAGAGTTTTCGCTTAAATTTCTTTTTTTTTGCAATTAGTTGTTGATTGATTTTTTTTTGCAAACAATGATTGGTATTTTTGCCTACTTTATTTTATTTTAGTTACAGCTTTTAATCAATAAATGAATTAATTGTCTTTTTAAGTTTTGTTTCTTCTCTCATGGGAACTCAAGGCTTTATTGGTGGAAAGAAATTAAATTGAAAATAAATGAAAATAAACTCACCCGACGCTCTTTAACTCCCGATCCACACGTAACCGAGCACTGCCCCCAAGGTTGAGCCACCCATTCAGTGGACGGTGGTCGGTTCGTTGATATCGTTTGATGGCTCAGAGGCAACTCTGTGAAAGGAACCCGATATGAAAGAGTTTGATCGTTGGGCATTGATCGCTGGGGCTGAGGTCGGCTGGTGGACATTGCTCGGTAAAGCTCTGGTCGGTTTGTAGATTTAGTTCGATATATTCCTCCCCAGTCATCCTTTGACAAAGACCTGATAAAACCCAGAACTAGATCAAATTCTTGGAAGAAAAAATTGTTCGGTTAAAAAAGAATAAAATTATTAATGAATGCTCCTTGGGAGCTTGTGATTACACTGTTTTTACCCATGGTTCTAGGGTTCTAGGGCTAGAGTTCTAGGGTTCTAGGGTTCTAGGGTTCTAGGGTTCTAGGGTTCTAGGGCTAGAGTTCTAGGATTCTAGGGTTCTAGGGTTCTAGGAGTTCTAGGGTTCTAGGGTTCTAGGGTTCTAGGTTTCTAGAGTTCTAGAGTTCTAGGGTTCTAGGGTTCTAGGGTTCTAGGGTTCTAGGGTTCTAGAGTTCTAGGGTTCTAGGGTTCTAGGGTTCTAGGAGTTCTAGGGTTCTAGGGCTAGAGTTCTAGGGTTCTAGGGTTCTAGGGTTCTATGAGTTCTAGGGTTCTAGGGTTCTAGGGTTCTAGGGTTCTAGGGTTCTAGGGATCTAAGGCTAGAGTTCTAGGATTCTAGGGTTCTAGGGTTCTAGGGTTCTAGGGTTCTAGGGCTCTAGGGTTCTATGGTTATAGGGTTCTAGGGTTTATGGTTTATGGTTCTAGGGTTCTAGGGTTCTAGGATTCTAGGGTTCTAGGGTTCAAGGGTTCTAGGGTTCTAGCGTTCTAGGGTTCTAGGGTTCTAAAAAAAGTAAAAAAAGTAAAAAATTATTTATTTATGACAAACAAAATAAAGTGTTTCAGGAGGAAATATTTAAAAACCTCTAAAAGTAGAGGTTGTGGGAATATTTCCCCCCAATTCTAAAAAAATTATAAAAATAGAAATAAAAGGAAAAGGAAAGGATAAGGAAAGTTACATATTTATTGTTTACAATATACTTAATATAAATTAGTATTTTTCGACGATGAACTAACAACTTTTAGAAATAAAAATTATAGATTCTAGGGTTCTTGAGTTCTAGGGTTCTAGGGTTCTAGGGTTCTAGGGCTAGAGTTCTAGGATTCTAGGGTTCTAGGGTTCTAGGGTTCTAGGGTTCTAGGGTTCTAGGGTTCTAGAGTTCTAGGGTTCTAGGGTTCTAGAGTTCTAGAGTTACAGGGTTTTAGGGTTCTAGGGTTCTAGGGTTCTAGGGCTTTAGGGTTCTAGGGTTCTAAGGTTCTAGGGTTCTAGGGTTATAGGGTTCTTGGATTCTAGGGTTCTAGGGTTATAGGGTTCTAGAGTTCTAGGGTTCTAGGGTTCTAGGGTTCTAGGGTTCTAGGGTTCTAGGGTTTCATTAAGTTATTAATAGAGCAGCATTTAATATTAAAAACGAACGTATTTAACCCCGTCCTTCAAGAGAATGAAACGGTTGAAAATTAAATAAAGTAGAAAAGATCTCGAGTCAAATAAACTTTCTTGCTTATAGGTTAAAGAGACGGTAGGCGTATATTAAAGGGACTGTAGGCGTATATTAAAGGGATTGTAGGCGTATATTAAAGGGAGCCTCTATTTGTAGGGTCACATTTACAATTCACAACGGTACCGTTTGAATATTTGTCTGATCAAGTATGATCTCAGAGATTTGATGATGAGTTTTCTATAAAAGTGACTTGCAGACTTATTTTACAATGAAAGAATTTGTCAAAACTCAACACGGTTTAAGATGGAGAATAAAAACATCATCCTCATTGTTACTCAGATAAATTATTGAAAGGTACTTTTGTCAATTGGACATTCACTGAGATATGTTCGATGGAAGTTTAAGAAGACCCCCCCCCCCAAATTTCAAAATTACCAAACACCAACGATCAACGGTCCGTCAGTTTTATTTATTCTTATTTTTTCTTTGTTCGAATTGAATTAGTTTTGTTCCCTGAAGCTTGAATAATTACTGCTCCGGGTTGACTCCGGTTGTGTGGCGAGCATCTGAACCAGAGGATCCGAGGTACACGGAGATAGGTTGCATTTCCTGGAGCCACGGGATTTGTTTTCTGTACAAACTTTTGTGGAACAAAATTCACAATAACTGTATAATGCATATTCAAAAGGAACTAACTTTAATTCTCTAGTCTCTATAATATCTTGGCAACCTGATGATCTAAACCTTTGATCTATTTAATCTATCAGAAATCATATTATGAAATATTCAAGATCTATGAGATGAGCTTGTAAATTAGAATTCTAACATTAGAGTTTTGAGTGAGTAATCATGATTCTTTTGAATATCGTTAATGTTTAAGATAGCCTTTTAGTGAGCCATTTGGTTTTAAATCACAGTTTTAACCTTTGTTGTTTTAACCTTTTTTTGTTAGTTATGATTAGTTCTAAAATTTTAATTAAAAAATTATTGGTATTTTTATATTTTTGAAGGATCTTTGGCCCGGGTTGCAAGAAAAAACTAATTTTGATAAAAAACACTAAGCCCTGCCTTGCTGTTATAATATTTGATTGCTCTGCTGCGCACGCTTTCTCTGCAACCGGTATACTCATACTTGCAGAGAACTCCTGTCTGCAGAGCAACCTTCTCTCCTGCACTCCTTCTCCACAGGAGGTAGAGCAGGGGCCCCAGTCCCCCCCTGCCCAGGAAGGGGGGCAAGGGGTCCGGTTGCACCTGACTATCTGAGTACCAGGTTTATTTGACTCCGTACATCTAGAATCAGGAACTACTTTCCCTTCAGATCTAAATTGAATCATTATATGAAAATTCATCAAATTGAATTGATTTTTGTCACAAACTCTAAAGTTCTAATCCCTATTTCTTTTCAACCCAAGGTCGTTCATACTAAGAATTCTATTAGATAAAATAGTTGGAATAAAAGCTGTACGACATTGAGTTGCAAAGATATAGGGATAAGAAAATCCCAGTTTGTGGCAAAAACTCAACTCCGTAGTATTAATATTGTTGTTATTATTTTAAAACATTTCTAAGCTTAAATCCGAAATCTGAAAACTCAATTTAAAAAAAAACTGAAGACTTGCCTCAAGCTAATATAATACCATTATCTTAACAACCTGATTGTGATAAACCTTGGATAATTTTAAACTTCCACTATTCTTCAAAATTAGCTAGGTTGTTAATTTATAAAGATTAGAAAATTCTAGTATGAGGAAACTTCTTTTAATTGGAAAACGTGTAGGAAAATCTGAATTAATAAATAAAAAAATAAAAAAATATATTTATCTGAACCTGACACAAACTGCTACTGTAGTCTGATATCCTCCACCACAACTCCTAGAGCACACTGTCAGGGTCTTCAAGGTCCAGGAGTACTTTCCCTGGTGCCTTCTCCTGGTCCCTTGGGAGGACTGGAGGTCCCTAGACAGGTCCCTAGCCTGCTCCATAGGAAACATGTATCTATACTCGACACCTCGGTTTATCTCTGCTGTCAACAACTGCAATAATATCCAAGGTTTGTTGGCCAGAGATTTAAAAAACTTGATAAAAGCTTAGATTATTAAATAAAACTAGATGGAACATCAAAATCATAGACTGCATTTTGTGATGTTTATTTTTTACAATAGATTTCCAATCTTTATTATATATTCTAATATTTTCTTAACCAAGAAAACTTAATTTCAAACGACCTTTCAGATTCATTTGCTATTCAGAGATAGTTGATTTCTGAGGTTTTAAAGATCTAGGATATAATAGAATCAATATTAGAGAAAAAGGATATTAAACCAACCTTAAAGATCCCATAGATATATATTCCTAAAGTTAGGTGTATATAAGGAGCTTTAACGAACTGGAATGTATAGGTATATATATATAATGTCATCTACATACGTTCTTTGCGTGTCTGTCTGGTTTTTTCGCATCCAATAGATGTCAACAGTTGAATAGATCGGACCCAAAGTTGTTGTGGGAAAGGAATTGAGTTTTTTCCACAATCTCAAATTTTCTGACAAATATCTTTACAACCTGATGGTGCAAACCTTTGATATTTCAAACTTAGACTATCTGATCTAAAATAATTCAAAGTTTGAAATATCAAAGGTCTACAACATTGGGTTGCAAAGATACAAGAATTAAAAAGTTTAAGTTTGTGGCAAAAACTCATTTTCTTACATTAATACAGGGAATGTTATATCCCAAGTCCGATGTAAAATGTCTACTTGAAAAGAAACCCTAAAGAAACTAATATCATGATATCTTCTATTCCTGTCTCGTGTTTATTAACTAGCCCTGCGTGAGCAGAGTATGCATAATACATGCATTGCACTGCCTGGTTTGGGCTAAAAGCATGTATAAGCAAAATGCATAAACTTTGTAGTTACGAATTGGGCAAGTTAAGAAGTTAGAACTAAAAGATACAAAGCACAAAGCATTTTCTGTTTATAATAAGTTTTAAGATTGCTTTACTCGATCCAAGTTTGGAAACAGTTCATATTCAGTTTAAAGTCAACTACCACAGAACTGTACTCAACATAGGTCGATAGAACACAAAATCAGCAGATCTGATAGGACAGAACTGCACAAACACAGATAGGACAGGTCTGTACTAAACCCAAATAGGACAGAATCGTACTTAAGGTAGAGAGGACAGAACCTTTCTGAACATATTTACAGATCTTTAAAAAGTTTAATATGTCTCAAATGAATCCAAAAGAAGTTTTCTACCACACTGCATACTCAGTTCAACTACCTTACATAGCCGGTCACTCCCTTTAAAAAAGAAAAATAACAGCTGATCAATTTTTCAGAGGCAACAACAACAAAGACATAAGTTACGACATCAACCTTGCGAATGAAAACACACTTTTTAAGTTTAAAAAAAAAAATTTGTTGTGTCGTTAGTTCATGAGCATTCGCAATTTTTATAAGTAGGATTCTTTTTACCTGTAGATTTAATTAGGATTCTTTTACCTGTAGATTTAAGTAGGATTCTTTTTACCTGTAGATTTAAATAGGATTCTTTTTACCTGTAGATTTAATTAGGATTCTTTATACCTGTAGATTTAAGTAGGATTCTTTTTACCTGTAGATTTAAGGATTTTGTTAAGGGTCCTTCTCCTTGTATCTGTTCCCTGATAAAAATGTTTTTTCAAGATGTTTTCCTTTAAAAAATGTTCTTTAAAATATGTTTTGTCTCATCCTAAAATTGAAAACTAAACTGGAAAGCAATTGTAAAGATCCGTAGAGTTATAAGTTAATCTCGTAAAACTGGGATTCCACTAAGATGTTTTGTGATACAGTGAAAACCAGAAAACTGTGGAAAAACGACATTAAAGAAATATTTTAAGTTACAATTCGTAAATAGTTATACTAGTAGTTTATTATGATATTTATCATTGACTATTTAAGATAAAACTTAAGTCTAAAAGTCCTCTTCTTATTTTACAGTTTTCTAGTTGTTACTGCGATGCTAACTAATCTTTTAGTAAGTGTTTGCTCATTGTTAGACAAAAATTGCTGACTCTAAAAAAATCGGATTTTATAACCTTACTTTTTCTTTATTTGAAGGTTTAATTTAAAACTTTATTTTCTACTTTTAGTTTATTTGTTAAGGTTTTAAAAAAATCTTATGATTTCTAAAACCTGAGTTTCTTTACCTAGATTTCGAGTCCCCTCTGTAGTAGTAGAACGTGGTTCCTGCTGCATAATACAGGCCCGTCTTAGAGGAGTTTCCGGAGGGGTTTATAAACAAATCATCATTCAGTTCACCCAAACCTAGGGGAAAAAAAATATTTGGATTTTTAAAATTTTGAATCTTTGCCACCTGATTGAGATTTGAAAAGTAGTATTAACCCCGAGAGTTGGGTTCAGCTGATCTTTATGATTTTTACGATTCTGAGTGACGTGGGATTCAATTATCGTTTATTTCTAATTTCGTAATGAATTATATAATTTTACATTTTAAATCTATAAACGTTCAAATATGGTTTCACTATAAGATAAGCACATAATTTTATAACATATAGGAAAAAGTTCAAAGGAACTGAGTTCTTGCCAAAAACTATGATTTTCTAATTCCTATATCTTTGTATCCCAATGTTAATGATCTCTGATATTTTAAACTATGAATTCTTTTAGATCAAATAATCTAAGTTTGAAATATCAAAGGTTTAAACCTCCAAGTTTCAAGATATAGGGATAACAAATTTGCGTTTGTGACAAAAACCCAGTTATTTTACAAAATTAAAGAACTGAATGCACGCTTTCAAAGATTTGGCTAAATCATTATTTCGTTCACTACTCGTAAACCATTAGACCCTAGTGTTGGACCCAAGTGAACAACCTGGCGTAGCTGAAGCTCGAGCGTGGAAAAGTTCGGGAAATGTACAAAATATTATTTCTGTTCTTTGTCATTTTAAACTTTGAATTCTGCCCGATCAAACAGGTAGAGGTTTGAAGTATCAAAGGTTTGCGATATATTGCCATGGATCATTCATAAAGCAGAGTTTGAGCGAGTTACAATAAGGTAAGATAAAGTTTATTGCTAAAATACATGTATCTGTGTAAATAACGAGTTCACAATTACTAATTAATAACTTTTTTAATAATTTAAGTATGAGTTTATGCTCTCTGCTTTTTTTGAGATCAGGGTGCGATCTTATGTAAACTAGTTATATCTACATTTCAAAAAATAATATAATTTTTAAATAATTATGTGACCTGTACAAAAAATTTCAAAACATATTCAATTATTCAATTTTCAATTTTCAATTTACCATTATACAACAAATATTATAAAAACAACAAAATATTATTGTTTATATTTTGCTTTAATTTTGTAATTTCCCCCCTTCCTTGAAATACAACTTAAGCACTCCATGTTTTCATCTTCATAAAAATATAATTTTATATCAGTTAGTCACGAAGAATATCCAACTGTCTGTTTCACAACGATACCCTTGAATCCTTTTCCTGATCAATAATGTGGAAGATATCTCGATTTTCCATCTTGAAAAGGGATAATTCTGTAAAATACGTTCTTTGTTTCTACTGCATAAAATCTGCAAGTCATTATTACAGAGAACCCACAATTTTAATAAAATTCACCGTTTTGAATCCGACAGACTCTTGTTCAAATTATGCCTATTGTCCCTTTAACCATATCTTAAACCCCAAGAATGGTATTTTTACATATTTGTGTCTACAGCCTACACCCTGCACCTACACTCTACCCATACTCAAGGGATTTGTTTAAGTGGAAACCCTGGCTCTGAATCTGATCGAGATGATTCGGCGAAATTGTAAAAACAGAGCTCTTTATTTTATTCAACACATTATTTTTGCAAAAGAAACATTCTGCAAATATTAAATATTTTGAAACTGCACAAATTTGCAAAGATTGCAACCCTTGAAGATGAAGGAGGAATGTTAATATGTTATAATTCGCGAAAACCTAAATTTATTCTGCTGCATGAACTGCTTGGTGCATAATAGGTAAATGATAAAAAAGGAAACAATACAATATTAATTTAAAATTCAATTTGAAAATGTCCCTTTTATGTCACAATCATTTTGTTTCAATTACAACACTCTACAGGATTCACAGAAATATACACAAAGACAAACACGTACACAAGGACGGACGTACACAGTACACACTACACAAGAACAGATGGACTTATGATCAGATATACACAAGAACAGAAATACACAGGAACGGACGTACACAAGAACAGACGTATACAATAACATGCGTATACAATAACAGGCGTATACAAGAACAGACGTGTTCACAATAACAGACGTTCACAATAACAGACGTACACAATAACAGACGTACACAAGAATAGGCGTTCACAGTACACTCTACAGAGAACATACGGACTCGAGAGAGGACGTACTCAAGAACAGGCATAAAAGTACAGACAGACACACACAATAACAGACTACACACAAACAAAAGTACACAGAACACACTACATAAAAACATACATATACACAAGAACAGACATATATACAAGAACAGACGTACTCAAGAACAGGCGTACACAGAACACACTACACAATAACAGACGTACTCAAGAATAGGCGCTCACAACACACACATACAAAAGAAGAGACGGACTCAAGAGCTGACGCACACAAGAACAGACGTACACAATAACCGACGTACAGAGGAATAGGCGTTCACAATACACACTACAAAGAACAGACTACTCGAGAGCAGACTTACACAAGAACAGACGAATTCATGAATAGGCGTTCATTACACACTAAAAAGAACAGACGGACACGAGAGCAGACGTAAACAAGAACAGATATACACAAGTACAGACATACACAAGTACAGACATACACAAGAACAGATTACCTAAAAACAGATGTACTAAATAACATACGTACTCAAGAAAAGACGTACAAAAGAACAGACGTTCACAAGAACAGACTTTACTCAAGAATAGGCATTCACAGTGCACACTACAAAGAACATGGACAGACTGAAGAGCAGACGTACACAAGAACAAGCATACAAAAGTACAGTCAGACACAATAACAGGCGTATACAAAGAACAGACAGACTCAAGAGCAGACGTACTCAAGAACAGTGTTACACAAGAACAGACGTACACAACAACAGACGTATGCAAGAACAGATGCACGCAAAAAAATGACGTATACAAGAAAAGACGTACTCAAGAACAGACGTAGACAAATAATTTTTTTTAAAAAGATAAGCACACAAAGGAACAGAAAATGTTCAGTCAAAAGAATGCGGATAAAAAGGCAGAAAAAGGAAACATTTAATGAAAAATGAATAACAAAATATATTTAAAGCAGTAAAAGAAGGGACTGCACAAAGGATAAAAAATTCAAATTGAGAAAATATATTGGAAAAATTGAAATTAAGGCAGAATTTATCCAAACGAAGGCATAAAAAAGAGGAACAAAAAAAGATTCCAAAATAATGCCATCTAGCGTAAAAATATTGAACTAACCAAGTCTGTTTGCTGAGGGTCTAAGTAGCGTAATATTAAGACTGCAGGCTCCAACAGGGATTGTTGTGATGTGTGTATACCCAGGGGTCAACTTGCCCTAAAAAAATAGAAGAACTTCAGGGTCTGATACATTTTTCATATATTTCTTTTGTTCAATCGAATTGTTCACTTAAAAAGTAATTCATATAATACCCTATTGTTGTAATTTATGAATATGGTTCCAGCCTTAAATTTGAAAATAAAATGTAATATTAATCTTTCAGAAAATTCATAATGGAGGGAAGAAAATTTAGACGATTTATAAAAATCATAAACAATCAAATTGGAAGGCAGTTAACGAACCTATAAATAAAAATCCACGAAAATTTACAAAAATTCCAAGTTTTCTAGCAATAACGCTATACTCGTTTTTTGGGCCTCTGAAATGTATGCATAGAGATAAACACGATTTGGGATGTTATGTTTTTTTTTCAAATAGCTGAGCAATCCCTTTTGTTTACCTTCGTAAAGAGACCTGCCACCAGTTTACAAGTTGACCCCTCCCCTTCACAGCTGGGACATCCTTGTACGCCGAGTATACTGTACATTACCTTAACAAACCCATTTAACTGTACTGTTCAAACGTATAAATTATAAATGATGAACATTGTAAACTGTACGTAAATCCTAATGTATGTTTTCCATCAAACCAATGTGCTTAGACCATAGATAAGGCGGAAAAGTCTATTGTAATTAAACATCTTTTGGTAAACATTGACTTTACAAGACCCTGGAATATCCCAAACTTTTACAATCAATTTTTCTTATTGTTTTGATTAAAACAAGTTCAAGGAATCCTATAAATACAAACTCTAAATTACGATATTAAAAAAATCGCTTATTTGACAGCTAAAGTTAGATAGCTGCAAATTGAGCTACAAAAAAATCGCTTATATTCAACAAAAAGTCGCTTATATTCAACAAAACATCGATTAATTGGCTGCAAAAGATGAATAAATGTCAAATAATTGAATTTCTTTTGAATAAAACTGTATGTACCTTATACAACTTATCAAAAAACTTTCAATTTTGAAAAAGAAAATCTAAACAAAATTAAAATTTTGTTAAATAGCAATATTGTGTAAGAATTCTTGTACACTACATGAATGTATCGTATGTTTATTAATGAACCAATGAAAATTTTAAACGGCATTCTTTATAAAGAGTTGGTTTAAACATTTTAAATAAGCGGGATTCAATGAAAATTGTTACATACCAAAAACCAAGTTTTTTGTAAAAGAGGTGTATTTACATTATATTTAAGTATACTTTACATTCCTGATACACCTATGTACAATATAAACACGGAAACACTTTAAAATTTATGTACATTGTACAATTATAACATTAAATTTTGCAATTAAATTTTGTTGGAGTGAATGTTTTTCTAAAGGAAGATTTAAGATATTTCTAACTCCTGTTGTTTTTTAAACAAATATTTTATTTATCTTTTAACTCTTAAAATATGAATTTAAAATGAAAACATAAAACATGTATTTTTTGAAAGGAAAAAACTGCAACATAAAACTTTTGTACATGCGGTGACAATTGAAAACGTACAGTACACTACAGTACATGTACAGTTTTTACCCAACCTACACAATCTAATCTAATCTAATCAAATCTTTAGATAAATAAAGGAAGTAAGGTTCCTGAAAAAATATTTTACTTTCGAAATAAAAGCAAAGGAATTGAGTTGTTGCAACAACTCATATTTAATAATCCTTATATCTTTGCAACCTCATGGTTCAAACCTTTAATATTTCAAGCTTTGACTAATTGATATGACTGATTTCATAGTTTGAAATATCACAGGTTTACGATATCGGGTTGCAAAGATTTAAGGAATACACTATCAGATGTTGTGGAAAAAAAAACTCAGTTCCTTCATCGTATTTAACCCAGCATTGTGATTCATTTTTTTACTTTTTCAGTTGCGTCAGCAAGCAGTATTATATTGAATGTAATTAATGAGTGCATTGGCGGGCTTTTTGTATTTTTAAAATCAAATATAAATAAATACTTTATTATTTGCTTCTTGGCTCTCGACTAATCATAAAATAATCTTTTAAAATTATTTTTCAATCCAAACTAAAGGAAGTCGAAATTTCCCATAAATCGTTTATATTATTTTATTCAATATTCTTAAAAATATATTTTAAAAATAAAAAGGTTAGTGTTACAAACACCTTAAAATTGTCTTTGAAATTCCATAAAGTAAATAAAATTTTGTCAATTCCTTGGTGGTTTCTTCTAGAATTTTCTTTCAAGCGAAAAGAATCCTAAAAATGTTTCGATGTTTTTGTAAAATGTAATGTTGATGTAAACTTTTGGAAAAGTGGAATTTATTAAAATCCGATATTTTACAGTTCTTCGTAAATCCTGGATATTCTGAGGTTAGGAAAACTCAAGGAGCTCAAGAGATGAAACTCAATTTGAAAACCCTGAACTGAGAGTAAAACTTTTGATTGGGAAGTGACTGAACTCGAAATCCAATGACAAACTTTTAAATTGAGGTTTAACTCCTTTAATCGGAGAAAAGTTGTCTATTGTGTCAAAGGTTTATTCCAGGGGAGTTCATTTTCTTGTCAAATCTTTTCTTCCGCCCTTCCTTTTTTTGGAAAACATTTTACCCAGAAGTCAGGAAGGTTTGCGCGGAGCGGAATTTTTTAATGGTTTTAATCGCAGAATTAGGGGAAATGAATAAATTTTTGGGTTAAAAGCATCAAAAACGATGAAAAAAACTTGCCTATTTATGTTTAATTTTTCTTAACCTCCCCCCCCACCTCCAGATCATCAAAAATATTTCCCCCTTCCTTGTAATTCTTAAAATGATATACCCTTGCATCATTTGATTAGAAATATTTGGCAACTGGTTTGGAAATTGATATTTTCGGTGCTGGGTTATTACTATTTAACATTGATGAAACATTTCAAAAATAAGACATTTCATATATTGGACATTTTAAAGAAACCCATTACACAGAAAATCATTTCATAGATGGGACATTTCATAGATATTCCATTAAAAAAAACATTTTATAGATTGTACACTTCATTAATACGATGTTTTTTTAGATAGGACATTGCATTGATAAGACTTTTAATAGATTGGATATTTCATAGTGTGGGCATTAAGCTCTTTTTGCCTAATTTTCTATCTGTATTATATAAATTCTTAAAAGATATAAAAGTATACTTTGCTGGCCTAGTTTTTTAGTTTCATTGAATAGATGTTTTGAAAACCTCTGCAACAGGAAATAGATATAAATGAAAGAATAAATCTGACGTAAGATCATTAAGAGAACAAATAGAATAAGATTATTTCTACAATATGGATACAATCTTATATACAGATTTCAGCCATTAATGAAAATAATATATTCTTTACATTTTTCATTCATTCCGCTATAAAAACACAATACAAAAAAGTTGCAAAAAATCGGTTTTAGTCTGGCATTTTTAGGCTCATTTTCAGAATATTAAAAAAATATGGTAAAAGTGATACTCTTTTATAGTGGGGCATATTCCATTCACAATGGTACCCTTATATAGTCTTTACATATTTAACAATGGGTCGTCGTATAAGTGTCGAATTCGGACAATTTACTTCATGAGTTTTTACTGCAGTAATTCCACTTTTGAAAATTATATTTTTTACTAGAAAAGCAATGATATCTCAGCTACAAATGATCAGACATAAGTTATAATGTTATCGTTGTGAATCGGACATGCCACTCTATAAAAAGAGGTTCACTCGAAATTACATCGGTCTTTTAAAGAGTACATATATATGATAATGATTTGTATTGGTTGTGACTTGTGGAAATAAAGCTTGGAGACGGACAGGGAGAAGGCCAGCTGGAATATCTCACTCTGATTTTGTATAAAGAACATATCTCACTCTGATTATGTCTAAAGAACATATCTCAGTCTGATTATGCCTAAAGAACATATCTCACCCTGATTATGGCTAAAGAACATATCTCACTCTGATTATGTCTAAAGAACATATCTCACTCTGATTATGTCTAAAGAACATATCTCACTCTGATTGAACCTAAACCTAAAGAACATATCTCACTCTGATTGCACCTAAACCTAAAGAACGTAACTCAACATGGTTGCGCTTATTTGACTTTAAAAATGGCAACAAAAGGTGTAAAAAAATACCAGGAGTTTATCATTAAATTCTTTCCATTTATTTCTTTGATATTGAGCTTACTAGAGAGCTAGGTTTTTAATCAATAGTAAAATTTCTTTTTCAGTTTATCGCCACTTTTTAGCCTTTAAAATTTAGAAAAACGAAATATTTTCCAGAGTGTCTCATGTTTTCTGGAAGAGACTGCACGAAAAATAGAAGAGATTACTTGCTTACTAAAGCCCCAATATCTTAATATTATCTTTAATTGCAAATTAATTGGGTTAAATTGCAAATTGATAGGACTTAATTGCAAATTAATGGGACTGTATTGCAAGATTGCTAAACATTACTCAAGTTACAAAGTTTAGGGTGTTATTTTCATCCCAATATCTATTTAATGATAATGTCTATTTATATTTTTACTGGGTAATTAAAAAACGGTTTGGGGAAAATAATAATTCTAAGAAACCATTTGATAAGATTTCTGACGAATAATACGTTTAATAATTATGAATAAATAAGATTGGTTCAGAAAAAAGTGAAAATAGAGGGCGGTAAAGATTAAAGAAAAATAATATCGCAATAAAAGTAAAGTTGAAGGACGTAAACGTCAAATATTACAAATTAAACTTATTTAAATAAAAATCTTGTTGCCATGTTTTATATCAAATACTTTTATGCGTTCAGCCTTCTCTTGACATTAATGTTTCTCTAGCCATGTAAAATAAAGTAGCAGTCCTAGTTAGATCAGTTCAAAGACACACAAAATATAAAATGTGTCCTTGCAACGGTGAATGTCGTCTTTGGGGGAGGGAAGAACGGGTTTACGGAAGGGACGGGAAGGGTTTACTAAAGGGAGGGGAAGGGTTTACTAAAGGAGGAGGGGGAGGGGGAGAGTTTAAACTAGGTTGCATGTTAAAAATATAATGTTGCGTGAAGGGGATGGTTACTAAATACGGTGGCGAAGGGTTGAAATTGTTTATATATAAGGATATCTTGGACATCTTCCTATTAACTAAACCTTAAACAGCAGGATAACTTCTTTCAAACAAACATATACAGTAGTAGACATGATACATGATACATGATACAGAATACAGGAATCAGGATGCAGGAAATATTGATGGTATTTTAGAGCAGGATACATGACACAGGATACAGGATATATGAAACAACCTATAGGATACATGATACAAGATACAGGATAAATTCATGCAGAATAGAATGATGAGGCACGATACATGATACATTGATCAAGGAGTTATGATACATGAATACATAATACAAGATATATGACACTTTGATAAAAAATATATGGCACATTGATACAGGATGCAGGATACATTAATATATTGATACAGGATACATGAAACATGATACATTTGTAGAGAATATTAGCATCATGGATGCATCTATATATTGATAATTTGATACAGTATAGTAACATCACTACCAGTTTCTTCTGAAAGCTGAAAATATTATTTTTATTGCGTAACATAATATTCAAGTTTAACAATTTCAAACTTTGCTGCAGTTTTTATTCATCAAAATTTCAAGAATGTTATAACGCTAGAATGAACAAAATTATAAACGTGCCTAAAGATTATCGAATTTTTATAGCTTTGTAGTTCAAACTTTGGCTTTTATTTCATTTTTTTTAACTTTTTAACACGAAAAGGTTTTTTTTATTAATTGCATTAAGAAATGCATTTATTGCTATAATCTAAATTTTTTCTTAATCATCCCCCCCTGATTTCAATCCCTAATTTCTAGTATTACAGACACTTTACTAAAAATCACCCCTGGTCTTAATCCTTAATTTCTAGTTTTACAGTCACTATCTTGGCACAAGAAAGTCTGGTATTAACTATATATATAGAGAGAGAGAACAATGGAAGACATTTCGTTAATTCCTGATAAAAGAGAATCATTTGTGGAACAAGAAAATTGGCAAATTTATTCGGATCAAGATTGCATAAAATAGAGCCTAGAGAATTTAGCTCACCCTGATATGTCTAAAGAACATATCTCACTCTGATTATGTCTAAAGAACATATCTCACTCTGATTATGTCTAAAGAACATATCTCACTCTGATTATTTCTAAAGAACATATCTCACCCTGATTATGTCTAAAGAACATATCTCACTTTGATTATGTCTACAGAACATATCTCACCCTGATTATGTCTAAAGAACATATCTCACTCTGATTATGTCTAAAGAACATATCTCACTCTNTTACTTACAAGAAGAATTTTATTAATTGAAGATTTCATTTTGTTGCTCACTCACTGCACTTGGGTTCTAGGTTCCAGGTTTAAAATTGTAAACTATAGAATATAAAGTTTGGATCATGTTTGTTTAAGTCCTGTTCATCCTTCTCCAACCTTAAACCTAAACTGGAGAGAAGAGAATGGGATGTAAACTGCGGTTCTAGAGAGAGACCAGAGAGAAGGAGAACGGAGAAACAGGTCGGGCTAAGCTGGAAAAATTTGAATTCTTTTGAAGAGTTTTGTGAAGAAATTAATAAGAATGATTAAGATAAAGATTTATATATATAATTAAAGATCTTAAAAAAGGTGAACCTTTATATTTACTATTTAATTGCCATAATTTAACTAGCTAAGTTTAGCGAGAAGACTCTTAACAACAAAATTTACTGATATTAAGATTAAATGACTAAAAAATCTCTTGCATTTTTAATATTTCCATTTTTCTCTTAAAGGGAGGGGGGGTTACCAAAGGGGTGGGAAGGTCGGGTTTACTGAAGGGACGGGAAGGGTTTACTAAAGGGATGGGAATGGTTTACTAAAGGGATGGGAAGGGTTTACTAAAGGAATGATAAGGGTTTACTAAAGGAATGTGAAAGGTTTACAAAAGTGGTGGGAAGGGTTTACTGAAGGGGGAAGGGGGTTTCTGAAGGGGTGAGAAGGCCAGGTTTACTGAAGAGGTGAGAAGGGTTTACTAAAGGGATGGGAATGGTTTACTGAAGGGATGGGAAGGGTTAAATTAGAAATTCAATATAATAATGAAAACGAAATAATCGATTTTAGCATTGATTTATTGACAAATTTCTTTTGTGAAATATGTTCCTAGCCATCTCATTAGATTACTGTATAATTTTTACTTTATTTTTCGTTGTCGTTATTTAATAATTTAAAAAAACTAATTCTGAAAGCGTATCCACCCCCAAATCAGGAGTTTTGAACGTCGAATTTGCGCTCAAACTCAGGATTTACAGATCTTTAAAAAGTGAAATATATCTCAAATGAATCCTAAAGAAGTTTTCGACAACACTGCATACTCAGTTCAATTACCTTACATAGCCGGTCACTCCCTTTAAGTTAAAAAATTATTATGAAATAAATTTTTCTGAAATGTAGCAACAAGGAGAAAGTCCATTACAATCATTTTTTTCAGGGGGGGGGGATGAAAAGAGAGGATTGGTATTGGGTACAGTACTCAGTTCAACGATCTCGCAAATCCATATTTCGTTCACAGTTGTGAAATGCTATTTATTAACTATTGTGACTGACTTTCAATTGTGCCCAGGCCTCGACCATTTAACCTTGTGCACTGGATATTTAAATTTCAGAGATCGTTTCTAGCTCTAATGTTAAAAGAGATATCGGATAAATCCGGATAGTTTTAGTCAGCTCAGAAACTAAAACTACAAAGTTTGAAATTTCCGAGGTCTGGCAAACTCTTAAAGTTGGCTGTAGGTGGAGACGGTTATTAGTAGTTAGCGGAGAGAACCTGTGTTGTGAGGAAGCTTATTAATAATATTTTTGTAAGAAATGCAAATTTTCTCCTCAACAGTTTAGAGGAGCAAATATCTATCCTGTCTTTCAACATACTTTTACCGTATTTCATCCTTTCTTGAGCACTCAGAATATAATTATCCTGTCTTTCAACATACTTTAACCGTATTTCATCCTTTCTAGAGCACTCAGAATATAATTATCCTGTCTTTCAACATACTTTAACTGTATTTTATCCTTTCTAGAAGAACTCCAACATACTTTAACCGTATTTCTTCCTTTCTAGAGCATTATGGTTATAACTATCCTGTCTTCAACATAATTTAACCACCTTTCAACCTTTCTAAAACACTGAGAACACTAAACTTTAATCGTATTTCAACATTTCTAAAGCACTATGGTTATAACTATCCTGTCATTTAACATACTTTTTTTGAACATTTCCTTTAGATTTTTATTTCTATTTATTTCCATATTTTTTCCCATTCCATAGTATCTATTCCCATTCCATAGTATCTATTCCCATTCCATAATATCTATTCCCATTCCATAGTATCTATTCCCATTCCATAGTATCTATTCCCATTCCATAGTATCTATTCCCATTCCAAAGTATCTATTCCTATTCCATAGTATCTATTCCCATTCCATAGTATCTATTCCAATTCCATAGTATCTATTCCCATTCCATAGTATCTATTCCCATTCCATAGTATATATTCCCATTCCATAGTATCTATTCCCATTCCATAGTATATATTCCCATTCCATAGTATCTATTCCCATCCCATAGTATCTATTCCCATCTATTAAAATTATCATAATTTATCTTATCTCTGAAAGTCTGATTTTTCCACGAGATTTTAGAATTTTCCAACTTTATCTTGAAGGAATTGTAGAAATGTTTCTCTTTAAATGTTAAACTCTAATTTTCTAGTTCTCAATGTTCTCGTGGTAAATATATGGTGGGCTGGATAATTTACTACCTTAAGGAACACTTGACTTTAATGTATTAGATTTAAAGGGACTGTTAACTTATTTTTATTTATAACTTTAATATGTAAGATTTAAAGGGATTGTTTAATTATTCTTGACTTTAATATATTAGATTTAAAGGGATTGATTAATTATTCTTGACTTTAATATATTAGATTTAAAGGGATTGTTTAATTATTCTTGACTTTAATATATTAGATTTAAAGGGATTGTTTAATTATTCTTGATTTTAATATATTAGATTTAAAGGGATTGATTAATTATTCTTCACTTTAATATATTAGATTTACAGGGATTGATTACTTATTTCTAACTTTAATATATTAGATTTAAAGTAATTAATTACTTATTCTTAACTTTAGTATATTAGATTTAAAGAAAATTTTTATTTATTATTAACAAAAATACATTATAAGTAAAGGAATTATTATTTAATATTAACTTTAATATATTAGATTAAAAGGGAGAGATTTTATTTATTCTTAACTTTATTATGTTAGATTTAAAGGAAGAGATTATTTATTCTTAACTTTAATATATTATATTTAAAGGTATTGTGCATTTATTCTTAACTTTAATATATTATATTTAAAGGGATTGTGTATTTATTCTTAACTTTAATATATTAGATTTAAATAGATAGAAAAAAATATCTCAAAGAGAAGATAATAATCATATTTTTTTTGACAAGGTACCAAGGTACCGTTATGAATCGAAACTGCCCCTCTATAAATGGAGGATCCCTTGAAAATACATCAACAGTCCCTTAAAGTGTTTTTTTAATGTAAATTTAGAATCCAGTTTCCTTGTGATTTATTATGAAAATGTTTGTGACATATATACTGTGTATATAAGTGCACCAGGCAATAAAATAAAGTCGAAAAAGTTTAAATCTGAAATATTCAAACGATAAATTTTCCATCCATTGTAACTTTTTAGTCTGTTCAGAAATTGGAAAATAAAAAAGTATCATTTAAAATTGATTCATCATTTTCAAGATAAATATAAATTAAAATTTGACATAAAATTAAATTAATTAAAATCACAATAAAAACAATAAATATAATGTGCAAAATGTGACAAAACTGAAATATTTAATTAAAACTAAGCATAAAAGTTTTAAAGAAAGTCTAAAAAAAGTATTAAAAATAAATGTTTTTAAATTTAATTATTTTCACAACAATTACCCGTCTACTGAAATTGTTATTTCTTTATGAGTTGCCCCATTCTGCTTTTATATCTTTAAAATAGTTGAATTCTAAATATGTTCTTCATGTCTCCTCTGCAAAAAAAAACCACAACTGAAAATAATCAGTTTTCAGCCATAAAAGTCATTGTTGATCAAAGAAACCACATTTAAAGATAATCAATTTTAAGATAGATAAACAAGTATTACTTTTTAATTTTTGCTTGAGAAAAAGTCTCTTTCTGTATTTTTTAATTTAGAATCACTTGAGATTACATTGACAAAGTACTTTCAAGTGTAAGTGCTTAGAATACTTAAGAAAAATGCGTATATTAGAGTATACACGGTCCATTGTACAAGTTTTTACAAAATATTGCCAATTTTCCTACTCATCTAAAATATTTCAGTTTCCATGAATTGTATAAAAACAATGTATATTGTAAATCAACTAAATGCTTTCTCAAAATTTTTTAATTAATTCGTAAAACTATTTTTAGATGATACCGATAAAATTAAAACAAAAAATAAAAACCAAATTTTTTGTTGCTAATGCAAAGTAAAATATTCTTTGATTTCATTGATTTGAACCCGAATATGTTTTGAATAATCAGTCAAATTTTTTTTTTTGTAAACCTATACATATATCTCATCATATATCTGTGTTAAGTTCGATTTCCGCAAAAGAAAAACAAAAATACATCTTTATTTTCAAAATCTTTTTTTTTAATTAATAACATTTTTTAAATTGTCTTTTAAAAATAAAAATCTTTTTTTTGTGGGGGGGGGGGGGTGGTGAATTCATATATGTCTGGATAACGAGAAGTAAGAATCTGATTGTAACAAACAAAATTGTTCATAATACATGCCAAAAAAATATGATTAAAAACTGGAAATACTACGAGGAAATTTACTTACAAGAAGAATTTTATTAATTGAAGATTTCATTTTGTTGCTCACTCACTGCACTTGGGTTCTAGGTTCCAGGTTTAAAATTGTAAACTATAGAATATAAAGTTTGGATCATGTTTGTTTAAGTCCTGTTCATCCTTCTCCAACCTTAAACCTAAACTGGAGAGAAGAGAATGGGATGTAAACTGCGGTTCTAGAGAGAGACCAGAGAGAAGGAGAACGGAGAAACAGGTCGACCCGGTACCTTGAGGTGGGGTCGGTACAAGTAGAAATAAGAAATTAATTTTAGAGATTCAGTCCATATTTTACTTAAACATTTAACATATTCTATAAGTTCCAGATTCTAGAATAAAATACTTAATAAAATGTCTCTTCGTGGTCTTTGGAAATCAGAAAACAAACCTTTGGTCTCATTTGTTGGTGAACAATTTTCAGTGATTGTTGCCATTTTAGCTCAATAAAAACAAGTTTTAATGACTAAAGTTTATTAATTAACTTTAAAAAAAACTATATATTATATACAGAGAAAACGTGGATATATTTTGTTCAGCTGGATTGGTTCAATCTCTACACTGCGTAATGTTCTATAGAAATCCTAGGGATCGTCTTCCGCCACATTACTCTACCAAGAAGGTACGGCGGAGTCAAGGCGGAGCAGGAACTTCTTCCTCGGACTTGTCTGTAGGGATTTTATCTGCTAATTGTTTCATATTGAGTTAGGAGAGTTTGGTAGAGATAGAAACTTCACGGCGGAGGAATGTTCTGGTGGTTTCTTGCAGGTGCAGAGAGGCGGACGCGCGACCTCTAAGGGCAGATGTAGCATCAGTCACTGGAGAATCGGATATTACAGGTTTGAGACGGTCCACGGACACAAAGTCGAGTCAAGTTCTGATCTGAAGGCGAAAGAACTTGTTCCGCCGTTCTACTACCAGTATATGAACCGCGATAGAGAGGAGCAAGGGAAGGGAGTTCAGACGGAGGCGATGAATGAACGTGGTGAGGCGGAGGAATGGAGAATCCAAAAACATTCAATAAAAAATGTGTTTTCCCTCCATTGGAAATAATTTCCCTTCGTTGGCCTTGCTCCAGCGAGGGAGGGGGCTATGCGGCTATGAGCCCAGCAATATTCTGTTTGAACCCAGGTAGTTATAAGAACCCTGCCCGAACCCCGCGGAATCGTTTTCGAGACTAGAAGGATACTGCTGGGCTCATGGCCGAATTGCCCCCTCCCCCATCTTCCTCCAGCGGAGGGGACCGAATATGCTGTTGCAAACTTCAATATCTCTATTTTCTTAAGGAAAATATTTTGGAATTTCTTTCTAGTGGGTGGGGGGGGGGGCTCTCTTTTTATTTAAGTGCACCAAGCAACAACCATACTTGCTTACAAAAAAAGTTTTCTCTTACGGATAAACTTATGTAAATTGTTGCCTTGGAAGTTAAAAGACCCCCATCATCACACACACTACAACACTAATTATTTTCTTGTTAATTAGTAAAAAACTAGGAAAACATCTCATTAAAAGTAAAAACAAACAAAACAGTTTGGTCGAGCCTGTACCCGTTCACTGCATATTGGTCGAGCCCGTACCATAGTAACACAGATTGGTTGAGCCGGTAACAAGATAACACAGGCTAACCATTCCCTCTACAAGGTGGATTTGAAATAAGTGTTTTTAGGCTTTTTTTAGCCTACTAAACATCGTTGTATTGTTTTTAGCCCACTTAACATCGTTGTATTGTTTATAGCCCACTTAACATCGTTGTATTGTTTTTAGCCTAATAACATCGTTGTATTGTTTTTAGCCCACTTAACATCGGTGTATTGTTTATAGCCCACTTAACATCGTTTTATTGTTTTTAGCCTACTAAACATCGTTGTATTGTTTTTAGCCTACTTAACATCGTTGTATTGTTTTTAGCCTACTTAACATCGTTGTATTGTTTTTAGCCCACTTAACATCGTTGTATTGTTTTTAGCCTACTAAACATCGTTGTATTGTTTTTAGCCTACTTAACATCGTTGTATTGTTTTTAGCCCACTTAACATCGTTGTATTGTTTTTAGCCTACTAAACATCGTTGTATTGTTTTTAGCCTACTAAACATCGTTGTATTGTTTATAGCCCACTTAACATCGTTGTATTGTTTTTAGCCTACTAAACATCGTTGTATTGTTTTGAAAACTGTTTCAGTAGATACAATTTCCAGGAAGGGGGGGTCTTCCATGAGACATTTTTCTTTAAAATGCTGTTTTAACCTTCAAAATTAGGCCTGATATTCAAAATGGCTCGGTTTTATTTCCGAAGATAGGCTAAAAGCCTAAACACACTTTTTTCAGAGACACCTTGTATGACTTGTATAAAACAGATCAGTTTAGTACTTAAGTACGTGAAAAGAATCTATGTATAAACATGAACTAAGGTAGGATTATACAATAAATGAAAAGGCGGATTAATTAATAATGGAGATTTGGATTGAAAATAAAGATGATTGTGAGATTTCGAATGAAAAGTTGTGAATTTTTACAAATGTTTTTTTTACATTTATCTAAGTTGTATTATTTGGTTTGGTAAACATACACACACACACGGACGTACATATTTCCATATTAAAGATTTAAAGAGTTAATTTGTTTGTTTTCATTTAACAACTAAAAAGTAAAATCTTACTCAGGCACTCTGTATAATCTTTTTGTTGTATTTATTTTTCCTTCATTGTGGGCCAAGGGCGGTTTCTGGATTTTAGAGAGGGGCGGCAAAAAAATATATAAATAAATGCTAAAAAGTTCTATTTACCGCCCTAACACCACAAAATTTACAGTTTCTTTATAGTATAGGGTAGCCAAATGTCTTAATAATCCATATACTTATCGAAAAAATAATATTGATTGAAATTCATACATTAACATTATACATATCATATTATTCTAATGAAGGGAACTTATTTTTTATTTCCTGCTATTAGTCTTCCTAATTTGTCTTGCAGGAGACTGCAAGTAGTTTCTAAGTTTATTTTTAGAGTTAAAAAAAACAAAAGAAGGTTGAAGGTAAAAAGGAATTTTTGTTCAAAATTTAAAAAAAATTAAAATATCCTCCTTTATTCCAGTTTAAAATAATTAAAATAATTGAATTAAAGGTATTTAAAACACTGATGTCCGAAATTAAGGCAAGCCTCTTTGGATGCATCACAATTTTTCCCAGGTTGACCAGTTATGGCTTAAATGAGAACTAACTTTGTAAAAATCTAGTTCACTCAGGAGGGGGTAATAGACTGCCAACCTCCCCCCCTGAAACCGCCTATGTAATGTGTGCAATATAAATGATAATAATAGTGGAAGAGAAATTAGAAAGAATTAGATAATTTAAGAAGATTTAAAGGATTTAGGAAGAGAAGATATTTTGCAGAAAAGTTGAACAAATAATCATGCAATAAATGAGTTAGAGGGGTAGCGTAATAAAAGAAGGACTTAAGAAGAGGGAGGGGGAGAGGGGGGGGTAGATTTTCATTCCCCCCTATCCTAGTAGGCCTTGCCCTTCCCCCTCCAGGAAGCCCTGAGACTGGTAAACATATAAAAGATTAGGCCTATCTTGTTTCAGCAATAGAAAGCAATTAGATTCTAAGTGAACTGTGAATATCTCATCGTCGCGCCAATTTTGCAGTTTAACATCTGCTAATTCTGTGCAAATCTGCTAGACTGCGTATTCTTGCGTCAAGTGGTGAGATTTTAACCGATGTGAAGTCTGCAGAAAATATATGGTCGAAACTCTTAGAATAGGTCTTCTTGTAAGGTTAAGCTCTTCAACTTACAGGGTTACCACAAAAAAAGATGGAGACGACAGAGACGACCGTACGGAATTTAGAACTGGATATTTAATATAAAACTGCGTTTATGTATGTCACACAGGGTGGCCCGATATGTGCGATTTATTTAAAATAATTAATAATTCATAATTCACGATAAAATTTTAAATCATTTTACTCCTTGCTCCTTACTCCATACTCCTTAATCTTTACTCTCTACTCCTTACTCCTTACTCCTTACTCCTTACTCCTTACTCCTTACTCCTTACTCCTTACTCCTTACTCCTTACTCCTTACTCNCGGTTCGGTATTCCTTACACACACCCTTTTGGTACAGACACACACACATGACGTTTCCGCCCCCTGGATTTTCTTGGTATTCAATAATTGAAAATTACTTTAGATTTATACTATTTTTAGATAAATATAATTTAAATTTGAGAGTTTTCATTGATTTTGAATTAAATGCTCCCTACGTCTACAGCCCCTCCCCCTTAAATCTCCACGCGCCCTACATTCTTGACCCTTCATATCTAATAAGATTACAGGCTTGTACGCGCACAGATCTTTGGATAGATTGCGCACAATTGATACGAATATAATTACTTTAATCATTTTGTCATCAGACACATATAAATTGTTGGCTCACTACACACGCTTGTCTTTCATAAATCATTTTTATATTTAAGAGACATTACTACTTCAATTTTCTGTATGATTTTGATAAAAATTTGAATTTAAAAATATTTGTCGAACATTTTCAAATAATAAAATATTCTATGACACTCAAAATATTTCTAAAAATAATTCTTTACAATTAGACCTTGTTGGTCTAACTGCACATTTTTACTGTGCGTACTTAAATAAAATAAACTACAGTGAATAAATCAACCCGGGAGATTCACAACGAACGTGGGGGGGGGGGGAATCAACTCATCACGGGCTCTGTAGTTGAACTCGACGACACCCTAACCCCCAAATGTAATCGACAAATTAGAAAGGAGAACAAGTTCTGTACAAAGAAAAATCAAGAAACGAGGATTGGAAAAATGAAAAAGTTAAATCCGCTTGTTGTTAAAGACTCCATTGCTTGCATCATTTTGCCGGATTACTTTGTAATTATTTGTAATTATGAGTTTCTGGCCAGACCTGGAAAATAGAAAATATATTAAATATTTGTATGGTTTGCATGTAACTTGATCTTCACAATGCAATGTAAGCACGAATCTTAGTTTACGAATCAAATCTTTAGAAATTATTTTCGGTTTTTACAATAATAATGCACTTACCATATATATATTTATGGTTTTTACAATAATAATGCATTTACCATATATATATTTATGGTTTTTACAATAATAATGCACTTACCATATATATATATTTATGGTTTTTACAATAATAATGCACTTACCCTATATATATTTATGGTTTTTACAATAATAAGGCATTTACCATATATATATTTATGGTTTTTACAATAGTAAGGCACAATTACCATATATTAATGGTTGTCTAATCTATATATATACATATAAACTTACTTGTCTTGTATCTAATTAATGTCAAAACGACTGAACCGATTAGGTCTTTCTAGATTTGGTCTTTCCGGAGTTGGTCTTTCCGTAGTTGGTCTTTCCGAAGTTGGTATTTCTGGTGTTTTTTTCCGGAGTTGGTCTTTCCGTTTTTTTTCTTTCCAGAGTTGGTCTTTTTGGAGTTGGTCTTTCCAGAGTTGGTTTTTCCAGAGTTAATCTTTTCTGAGTTAATCTTTCCGTTTTTGGTAGCTTTCCGTAATTTGTCTTTCCGGAATTTGTACTTCCAGGGTTGGTCTTTCCATAGTTGGTTTTTCCAGAGTTGGTCTTTCCATGGTTGGTCTTTTCAGAGTAAGTCTTTTCGGTATTGGTAGCTTTCCGTAATTTGTTTTTTCGGAGTTTGTACTTCTAGAGTTGGTCTTTCCGTAGTTGGTCTTTTCAGAGTTGGTCTTTCCAGAGTTGGTCTTTCCAGAGTTGGTCTTTCCAGAGTTGGTCTTTCCAGAGTTGGTCTTTCCAGAGATGGTCTTTCCATGGTTGGTCTTTTCAGAGTAAGTCTTTTCGTTATTGGTAGCTTTCCGTAATTTGTTTTTCCGGAGTTTGTACTTCTAGAGTTGGTCTTTCCGTAGTTGGTCTTTTCAGAGTTGGTCTTTCCGGAGTTGGTCTTTCCAGAGTTGGTCTTTCCGTAGTTGGTCTTTCCGGAGTTTGTACTTCCTGATCTTGTATTTCCAAAGTTTGTATTTCCTGAGTTTTTAATTATGTAGTTTGTATTTCTGTAGTATGTATTTCCGTAGTTTGTGTTTCCGGAGTTTGTATTTTCGTAGTTTGCTTTTCCGCAGTTTGTATTTCCGTAATTTGTATTTCCTTAGTTTGTATTTCCGTAATTTGTATTTCCGAGGAGTTTGTATATCCGTAGTTTGCTTTTCCGTAGTTTGTATTTCCGTAGTTTGTATTTCCGTAATTTGTATTTCCGTAATTTGTATTTCCGAGGAGTTTGTATTTCCGTAGTTTGTATTTCCGTAATTTGTATTTCCGTAATTTGCATTTCGGAGGAGTTTGTACTTCCGTAGTTTTTATTTCCGTAGTTTGTATTTCCGTAGTTTTTATTTCCGTAGTTTGTATTTCCGTAGTTTTTATTTCCGTAGTTTGCATTTCCGTAGTAATTGTATTTCCGTGGTTTGTTTTTCCGCAGTTTTTATTTCCGGAGTTTTTAAAATATTGAACATTATGTACATAGTTAGTCGAGACCAAACTTTCTGTTTGCAGTTTTTGAAATCTGTTTTTGTGACGTAAATTCGTAGAATTAAATTAAATATTTGAAAAAGTGTCAAAACAAGTGCAAAACCTTCAAACTTTTTTAGAATTGTCAAAAATATTTTAGAATCATCAATTTTCTAATGTTTCCATATTGATCTAAGAAGTATGTTTTTAACCCTATTTGCTTAGTAACAGCATCAATAAAGTCGTCTTCCTTTTCTCAGAGTTTTCTGGTTATATCTGGTTATATCTGGTTATATCTGGTTATATCTGGTTATATCTGGTTATATCTGGTTATATCTGGACATTTTTTGTATTTAAAATCCCCTCTTCAAGAGTAAAAGCTACAGGGCTACCCGCAAAGGGTGAGACTGTAAAGACGACGTGAACTCTTAAAATATGACGATTCCACGATTAAATTAAGTCTTCTGCCTTAAATATAGTCTTCTAATGGCTTATTTCATGGTTTAGGATAAGGAGGAACAGGGAACAGTTGAAGGGAATCAAGAATCTAAGAAAACAGGCAATGTAAAGTCTGTCCATTCGTCTTTGAAGTCTCATCCTTTGTGGTTAACCCTGTATTTAACCACAAAAAGACAAGGGGGGTTTCCACTTCAGAATTTTACTCATAGGGCCCAAATCTTTCAAACATAAACCATAAAAATACTTGACTTTTAAGAAAGATTTTTGAAGATTTTGTTGCAAACTCGCAATTCTTGTAACTTTGTTTATATCCCCCTCCCCCCTTTCTCCATCCCAGCCTTTTCAGGGTTAAATCAAGTAAGATGCACTTTTCCTTGGAATACAAGTTATAGGTACAGGGTGTCCCACGAAACATGACAATTTGTGAATTGTTTAAAAATGTCTTCTTCCATAATATTTCAAGTTGTTTGTTACCAAAGAGAATAATAATACATATTTTATGGCATCCATATTATAGTAAAATTAATTTCTAAATAAAATATGTTTGAGTATAGTTTTTTAAAATAAATAAACTGCAAAAAGTGTATAATATCTAATACAGTATATGGCCATGGGTGAAGACATTCAAAACTATTCAGCAACTTTCATGTTTCGTGGGACACCCTGTATCACAAAAAATAAATGTTTGTCTGAATATTTTTCGCATTTTTCCCCCAGATCAGTCTTAAGAAAACAAAAGGGTTAATAATCTTGGCAAGCAATGAACTGTATTTACTTTGTACAATATATAAACACAACTATACTGATAATTAATGCTAATATTAATAATAATGTTAATAATAATAATAATAATGGTATTTATAATGCAATAATAATAATAATAATAATTATATTATTGATAATGATGATAATGATATTATAATAATTATATTATTGATAATGATGATAATGATATTATAATGACTATGATAAAATAACAATATTGACTTTTTTCTTCATGGATATAATATGTAATACTTGGGATATAGCTCGGATATAAATTCTGTGTAAAACTAGTTGATTTTATTTCTATCCCTACCCATATACTCCCCTAGGCCCAGGTTCCGACCACTTGTTGCTCCCCCCCCCCCTTAATACTATAGAATCAGCTGAATTCCAGTCCTCCATCCATACTTGAACAACATACACAACAAGATGTAGTTGAAAATTCTTTATATTGTGGAATTTTAAGCACTGTTGTTAAATTCATTTTTGTGCTCTTCTTTGGTTATTACATTATTTTAAAGCTGCTTAGTAAAACTACAACAAAAATTGTCCTCCTCATTGAATTTTCCTTTTTTGGTGATTCGGCCTTAATTGATAGGCTTTATGCGATTAACCTTGCCTTGTTCCTTGTGAACCTTTGATGTGAAAAGCGATGGCTTAAAAATTATTTGAACAATCTCAGCTATTTTCTGTCAACATAATTTTTATAAATGTTAACAAAAACAAATAAGAGAGATGGTTGGTGTTATAGGAAACAAGGTAATGTGAACAAATAATATTTAGATTTTTGTAAATTAAAAGATTGATAATTATTTGAATGATTTAGAAAATATGACGGTGTATATCACTAGACGGGAATCATTCAGTGCCGCACATAGGTTTATTTTAATTATTTCATCATTTTAAAGATTTTGATAATATTTAATATTTTAAGTTCGGAAGTAGTTTTTTTATTTCTAAATAAAGGTTCTTTTTTTCTAAACCAGGAAGTAAATTTAATATTTTTGCAACCTGATGGTGCAATACCTCTACATTTCAAACTTACACTATACAAATTGATTTTCCAGATTTCATATTTTGGCATATCTAAGGTCTTAAAAGGTTGCAAAGATATAGGTATAGTGAGACATTTTTTGGTAGCGATTGTTTAGTTTCCAGGGAATAGGAATAAATAGAAGGGAAATGGCGCTGGTCTGGCATGAGAAAGCCAGTCGCACTGCTTTGCAGACGAGTTCCGACACACAATATGACTACAGTCAAGGAAATTGCAGAACAATGTTGTCAATTATAATTAAACTTGAATATCGAGTAGTGAATTATAAACTTTAATCAAATTATATTCTTTGCATGAAAATTTGGCTTTATAGTGTTGAATAAATATGTAAATAATATATTACATGTATATTAAACTTATTTTTAAGTAAACTGTTAACAATAAACAAATGTACTCTCCTAGACTGTACAAATACCGAGATTCTTATGTACTGTATATACCTACAGTACACGCCTTCGGTTCGGTATTCCTTACACACACCCTTTTGGTACAGACACACACACATGACGTTTCCGCCCCCTGGATTTTCTTGGTATTCAATAATTGAAAATTACTTTAGATTTATACTATTTTTAGATAAATATAATTTAAATTTGAGAGTTTTCATTGATTTTGAATTAAATGCTCCGGAAAGTGGAAACTAAAATCTTAAATTCAATTTCTGAAATTGTTCTCTATTTGTGTCGAGTCGAGTCCTTAAACCATTTATAGAAATATCAGAAACATTCAGTGAAAATTGAAATCTGCAAAATATTTGCAAGTTTTCTATTCTACTCATTCTGTAGACTCATTCCATTCATTCTGTACGTATTCCACTCATTCTGTACTCATTCCACTCATTCTATAGACTCGTTCCACTCATTCTGTAATCATTCCACTCATTCTGTAATCATTCCACTAATTCTGTAGACTCATCCACTCATTCTATAAACTCATCCTACTTCTTCTGTAGACTCATTTCACTCATTCTGTAGACTCATCCGATTCATTCTGTAGACTCATCCAACTCATTCTGTAAACTCATCCTACTTATTCTGTGGACTTATCCCACACACTCTGTAAACTCATCCTACTTATTCTGTGGACTTATCCCACATTTTTTGTAAACTAATATCACTCATTTTGTAAACTCATCTCTTTTATTCTGCAGACTTATCCCACTCAGTTCTATCATAAACTTTATTTACAACCGGATCTAAGACATAGTTCTCAAATTGTCTTCAATAATCTAAAACAAGGTTTTTAACCAAAGAGAATAGAATATATATATTGAGTTGAATTTACAAGAAAAAAATGTAAAACGACCATTTTGTTGTACTGTTTCCATACTGCAGGTGTACTTCACACAGTTGTGCTAAATAACCTTTTGGTCCTTGGAACATCATTTTATAGAAAAGTTTTCTTAATAATTATTTGATTTTCTCTAAATCAATTCTCGGATAGCCTGTCATGCATTCCCGAGTTCATTTAAGCATAAGCTTTGCTAATAATCAATTTTTAATTAGTAAAAAACATATTTTTTAATAAGAGGTAAAACCAATATTTTGAAATACTCAAGATACCAAAGTATTAAAATTGAGGATGAGGAAGGTAAATGGTTATTTACTCTCAATTTCATAACTTTTATGTAGTGGGACTCATAAAACTGTGAAATGGAAGGAAAACATTTAACCAATCTAATTTATGTTTGCTAAGTTTTAAGTCTTGTTAGAAAGTAAAACGGCTCTGAGACAGCTAAGGGGCAGGCGGAAAGGGGGGAAACAACCCTGGAAAATTGCGGGAAGCTTCTATATGTAAAATGTATAGATACTTAAATTCTATTTTAAAGGGAGTGTTCGCGAAAAATGAAAGGCTTAATGCGATAAAAAAAGCGCTTTTGATCGCTACTAATCTTACTTCTATCTGTTGCGTCTATAAGGAGAAAAGACTTAGACCGTAAAAAATCAATTTAATTTCAAACAAATCATTCAGATATTACAACCTATAGTCATCGATTATCTTTCGCCACATTTGTATATAGTTTATATTTTATAATATTTTTTAACTAATTTGTTTGGAATTTGATTATTTCTCTTGTCGCTTGCTGGTCGAAATTAATGATATTTTCAAATTAAATGTTTTTAATTTTAAATCTTCTTTATTTGTATCAGAATTCCCAAAAAAAGTTCTTTTTTTCTTTTAAAAGCGACAGAAGTTCTTTAGCTTTTTGTAAAATATAATTTGATGTCAAAAATCATATTTTTTCCTGTTTAATAAATGAGTTTGTTAACTTAAACCCTTAACTGGCACAACAGGAAAGTTAGGAGTGTAATAAATTTTACATTTTCTAAATTAATGGGATGGAGTACACACTATACTCGGATCACAATGCACACTATACTCGGTACACAGTACACACTATACTTGGTAAACAGTACACACTATACTCGGTACACAGTACACACTATACTTGGTACACACTTGTTGTCGCAAAGGAACAAGATTCTGACGATGAACAGATAGACAAGGTATAATCCACGAATCAAAATCGATAATGCAGAAAACTCTTTATTTCCTAAAAAAAATAACGAAATGAATAATGATAAATAATTATTACAGGGTTTACAAATTTATAATGAAAAGATTCTTACGATCTATTTTCCTATTCGTGAGACTATCTGTTGAAAAGTCCGAAGACGCTTTTTATACATTAAAACTTCTGAAAAGATTGACAATTAAATGTTGATGAAAGTCACTAATTCTTTAAATAGAAATGTTTTTGTTTAACTTTGAAATGGTTCACAATTGATAAACGTTTTAACTCCGTCATCGGAGAACAAGGAAGAAAGGCGGGCTGAAATTGTTTGGTTTGGATTCTTGACTCCGAGAGGAGCATTTAAGTTGAAGACGATATTACATGAACTGTGGGGGGGGGGGGTCTTAATGTTAATGGTTGACAACACTACACAGTACACACCAAAGAAGTATAATGTAAAGATAGTTATTTCAGAGGTGTACGCTTTTTTAGTACTGCAGTTTACTGTATCTGGGCGGTAAAGTAAACACAAGACGGATGTGACAGCCAGGCATGGGATCCATTTTTACATAAAAAAATCAATGAAATTTTTTGGTCCTAGGAAACTATTATAGGAATTGTCAAAATCATCAAATTTAAATGCTTTTATCCTACTCGGATACTAGAACACTGATGCATCTGTTCTTGTTTACAAACACAGCCCAGAGAGAACTGGTTTCAATATGTACGCAGAGAATACACAACTTTCCTTTCCTTATTGCCTTGGTACACTAAACTCGGATCACAGTACACACTATGACTGTACTTCAACCAAAGTTATAATGCAAAGAAAGATATTTTATAGGTGTACCCTGGACTGAGTGCTCAGGAGAACCTGAGAATATTTAAGAAATGTAATTATTCTTATAACTCTAGGTTACATAACCCTGGACTGAGTGCTCAGGAGAACCTGAGAATATTTGGGAAATGTAATAATCCTCACGGTCATGGTCATAACTACAACCTAGAGGTCACAGTTCGGGGTAAACCTGACAGGTAGGTCAATAGAGGTCAATTAAGGACCATTACAAACTCCTGAAATACAAACTCCATAAATACAAACTCTTGAAATACAAACTCCTGAAATACAAACTCCTGAAATAAAAACTCTTGAAAAACAAACTCTTGAAATGCAAACTCCTGGAATACATTATTACAATAATTATTATCAACTCTGAACCTTGTAAAGGTTAGTTAGAAAGACAAGAATGAATACAGAATAATATAATTATTATAAACTCTAAACCTTGCAAAGGTTTGTTAGAAAGGCAAGAATACAGAATAATATAATTATTATAAACTCTAAACCTTGCAAAGGTTTGTTAGAAAGACAAGAATACAGAATAATATAATTAAAACTCTAAACCTTGCAAAGGTTTGTTAGAAAGGCAAGAATACAGAATAATATAATTATTTTAAACTCTAAACCTTGCAAAGGTTTGTTAGAAAGACAAGAATACAGAATAATATAATTATTTTAAACTCTGAACCTTGCAAAGGTTTGTTAGAAAGACAAGAATACAGAATAATATAATTATTTTAAACTCTAAACCTTGCACAGGTTTGTTAGAAAGACAAGAATACAGATTAATATAATTATTATAAACTCTAAACCTTGCAAAGGTTTGTTAGAAAGACAAGAATACAGAATAATATAATTATTATAAACTCTAAACCTTGCACAGGTTTGTTAGAAAGGCAAGAATACAGAATTAAAATAAAAAATTTTGCGCGGGATAGCGCAGTATGCACAAAGATTTTAATACGCATTAAACTAAAAAATTGCGGCGCAAATTAATTTTTTAATTGCGTCGGAAACCCCAATTTTAATGAATCAAATATTATAAAAGGATTCATGGTGTATAATAATAAAAATGTTTTAAATACTTTCCCCGAACTATCTAATCACATTTTTGACAAGCTTCACTTTCAGCTATCTTATTAAAACTTTTTCTTAGAACTCATTTTAGAAATAATTTTGAGGATTTTAAATTATGTAAACGATATTTAAGTGCTAAACATACGTCGATTGAACCTTTTCAATAATTTAAGTAATAAAAAGCGTTAATTAAAAGTTTATTACAAAAACTAAAAGATTTGGAGATTAATACTGATCATAAATCCAATATCTACGTCAATTTCTCGTAACTTTTGCTAGATTACATTTTTCTTCTTTACTATATTCAAGGATACAGGGAAAGTGATGAATTCAATATATATATATACTTCAGGGAAACAGGAATGGTAATGAATATCACTGATATTAAAACTATCTTAAACGAAAATGTTCTGAACCTGCTAGATCACAGAAATATTGATAAGTAAGTATTATCTTTTCATGTTATATTTTCAATGGTTGAATTATTGAAATGATCATGAACGTCAAAAAATATCTTTTATAAAAGCTTCACTTTCAAAATAATTTATTAGAATTAGGTTTACGTATTAAATGATTTAATATTTTTCTTGATACTAATGATAATGATAATGATAATGATAATGATAATGATAATGATAATGATAATGATAATGATAATGGTAATGATAATGATAATGAAAATGATAATGGTAATGATAATGATAATGATAATGATAATGATAATGATAATGATAATGATAATGATAATGATAATGATAATGATAATGATAATGATAATGATAATGATAATTGATAAGGATAAGGATAAGGATAAGGATAAGGATAAGGATAAGGATAAGGATAAGGATAAGGATAAGGATAAGGATATATAAGGATAAGGATAAGAATAATAATAATGATAATAATGATAATGATATAATTATAATGATTATGATAAGGATAAGGATAATGATGAGGATATGGATAATAATAATAATAATAACAATAATAATAAAAATGATAATAATGATAATAAAAATAAAAATAATAATAATGATAAGAATAATAAAAATAACAATGTCACTATGCAGGGAAGTAGACTGGTTTAAGAATGGTAGATGTAGTACTGCAGAGAATTTGGTCATTTTTATTTGGAACCAGATTCATCCCCTCATCCCTCATCCAGCCGTTCTAGACCAGGTACTCTCATCCCTCATCCAGTAGTTCTAGACCAGGTACTCTCATCCCTCATCGAGTAGTTCTAGACCAGGTACTCTCTTCCCTTATTCGGTAGTTCTAGAACAGGTACTCTCATCCTTCATCCAGTAGTTCTAGAACAGGTACTCTTATCCCTCATCCAGTAGCTCTAGACCAGGTACTCTCATCCTGCATCCAGTAGTTCTAGACCAGGGACTCTTATCCTGCATCCAGTAGTTTTGGACCAGGTACTCTCATCCCTCATCCATCATCTAGACGAGGTACTTTCATCAATTATCCAGTAGTTCTAGACTAGGTACTCTCATCCCTCATCCAGTAGTTCTAGACCAGGAACTCTCTTTCATCATCCAGTAGTTCTAGACCAGGTACTCTCATCCCTCATCCAGCCGTTCTAGACCAGGTACTCTCATCCCTCATCCAGTAGTTCTAGACCAGGTACTCTCATCCCTCATCCAGAAGTTCTAGACCAGGTACTCTCATCCCTCATCCAGTAGTTCGAGACCAGGTACTCTCATCTCTTATCCGGTAGTTCTAGACGAGGTACTCTCATCCCTCATCCAGAAGTTCTAGACCAGGTACTCTCATCCCTCATCCAGTAGTTCGAGACCAGGTACTCTCATCTCTTATCCGGTAGTTCTAGACGAGGTACTCTCATCCCTCATCCAATAGTTCTAGACCAGGTACTCTCATCCCTCATCCAGTAGTTCTAGACCAGGTACTCTCATCCCAAATCCAGTAGTTCTAGACCAGGTACTCTCATCCCTTATTCGGTAGTTCTAGACCAGGTACTCTCATCCCTCATCCAGTAGTTCTAGACCAAGTACTCTCATCCCTCATCCAGTAGTTCTAGACCAGCTTATCCCTAATCCAGTAGTTCTAGATCAGGTTCTATCATCCCTCATCTAGTACTTCTAATTAACCTGGAGCTGAAAGAATTGAAAAAAGTAGAAAAATGTATCTAATATGTTTTAAATGCGCATTGCATTGTAAGTATCTTTTGTTTTTACATTTTAAAAATATACTTTTTTAGGTTAAACTCTGGGAAACAGAAAAGAACATTGCAATTTATAGAGGAGAAGAATGATCATTTTGATACAGGGTGTCCTAAGTAACGTTTTGATTTGTGAAAATTTCATTAAATAAACTTGTTTATATTTATACCATAGGCATGCTCTGTTTTTCTAATCCCTTTATCTTTGCAACCTGATGGTGTAAACCTTTGATATTTCAAACTTTTTAGACCATTTGATCCAACAGAATTCATAGATTGATATTTCTAAGGTCTGAAACATTAAGTTGCAAATATATTTAGAGATTTGAAAGATTTATTTTACTAAATATGAATCGAATTTTCATGCTTAATGTTATTGCCAAAGTGTAATATCAAAGTAAATGTTATATGAGCATTTTTAAAACAGTTTTTGAAGTAGTTACTTGAATATTGTAATTTCTAGAATAATTTATTCTAATTTCTTAGATTACATAAACTAAAAAAGTTAATTTAGGTATTTAACAAAATAATAAATTGTTAAAAAATATTTCTTAATAATAAATTACTAGATTAAAAGATATATCTACTATTTACTAAGATAGATGTAATAATTATACATTTATTCTTCGTAGAATGTAATTATGATTTGGTTCTCAATTCACTTTTTTTTGTAAATAACATCCAGTTCCCGGGTATTTACAATCGTCAAGATATGTACACTGTACAGTGTTCACATAATAACTAACTGCTGAAGTATAGCACAAAACGATATTGAATTCAAATGGAAGAAACCGAACGCATTTTCCCCTGGTTTAGTTTAGAGTGAGGGTAACCTATAGTTTGGTATTCCAAATTTTGAGTCAGGATCACGTGAATGAAAGGGGGGGGGGAGTTTGCTTATGACTTGATATTTGTTGATTGGAGGGGGGGGGGGGGGTATTTGGCCCCCTGATGATGTTTGTATGATGAATATGCAGATGTCTCTCGATGCATCCTTTAATTAAATCTATTGTATTGGGTACACTGTACTGTATCTGTACACTGTTATATTCACTGATTAGATAGATAGATAGATTTAAATACAAATATATATAGAGATACTGTAGAGTAGAGTGATATATATATATATAAATATTTTCTGAGTATTAGATTTTTACAAAGATAAAGAGACGAATAAGTTTAGATGAATTTAAATAACAGAGAAGCATACTGAACTAGACAGAAAGAGATAATGAACTTTATGCTATACTACTGGTACGACGTTATTACAACCAGTCTTGATTTTACGCATAAGTTTAAGAAAAACTAATTATCTGGTTACAAAAAATGCATAAAATACATAAAATACATAAAAATACATAAAATACATAAAATACATAAAATACATAATATACATAAAATACATAAAATAAATAAAATAAAATTCAAAACATTTTCGTTCTTCTCAAGTGCTCTTCAAAAAGAGGAGTTATAGAATTGAAAACATTTGAAGATCCAAGGATGGAATTTACTTCAGTTTAAAGTGGATTTGGATATACAGGGATGGAATTTAATTTAGTTTATCGTGGATTTGAAGATACAGGGATAGAATTTACTTTAGAATATCGTGGATTTGGATATACAGGGATGATAAGATATAGAGGAGATTCATAGATTTACGGATGTAGAAATACATAAATATGTAGATAGATACAATCATAGTGATTTCGAGATAAATAGATAAAGAGATATTGAGACGCAAAGATGTAACAGTACAGATATGTAAAGATGTAGAGAATATACATATATCTATAGATGTAGAGATTAAAGAACTGTAAAGATGCAGAGATAAATATATATTTTTATGTTGTAATACATACATATATAGAAATCTATTCCAGAGATACAGAGATAGAAAAAAAATAAGTATAGATACAGGAACAGTCAGATTCAGAGGTAGAGAAAAAGAATATGTATAGATATAGGGCGTAAAGATGCAGATATTTATGAGATAGAGATGTAGATATTTTGGGATGTTAAAAGTTTAAATGATATTTCATCCCTAGATCTAGTCTTAATCCATCTCTATGACTTACAGAACGTCATAAAACCAATTTCCTAATTTAAAGAAAAAGTTTGGATTGAAGAGAAATATTAGAATTCACCACACCCATCATTTCTCTTCATTATACTAACCATAGAGGTTCTAGGGGGCAAAAGAAAAAGAGTAAAAACCACAAGAAATCTAAAAACATTCGTTAGAAGTACTTTTTTTTACATTTCAACTAAATTCTTGAAATAAATAACGCTTTGAAATGCTGAAAGATTGAGCAACAATTAAAAGTTGAAATAGAAGTAGCCTAGTAAATGTTTATTTCTGTTTGGTTTCCCTCCATAAGTTTAAAGTTACTGATTTAAATATACATGAAGACAAAAATCAATGATATATGTGCTAATGATGGAGAAAAGGTGAAAACTGACATAGTTCGTTTATATAATTCATAGAAAAGTACTAATTCACTTTCATATAAAAATTTAACTTTACTATAGTTCCAAAACTACATATGTTTATTTTAGTAAATTCTTCCTCAGAATATCTATGTCTCACTTTCTAAACGCATTTCATGTTTTCAAGATCCCATCCAATCTTACTCCAGTAGCTCACACAATAGGGGCATTGCTCCTCCCCATACATACAATCACAGACACATAATTTAACTACCAATACACAATACACACAATTTATACAAGAAAAAGAAGAAAAGGGCGGGAAAGGGCTTTCACATTCCAGCCACACTCTTTCTTTGTACTCAAGTTCTTTATATACTTGAATCTATGCGTTAAATGTGGAAATATTTGAAAACATGTGAATCTGCCTTTTCGACAAAACAGAAAATTATAAGAAAAGAAAATGGTGTCCCGAAATCGTGTTTTACTCAATACTTTTTAGGTAAAATGGATCCTCTAAAAGCCTCTGAATTGATATTAAAATATTTTTGTTTTTAACCAAAAGCATCAATCTCAGTGAAAATAACATATCTTAGTTGCTTTTGGTCGAATAGAGTTTTTTTTGCACTGCATTCAATCATTCGGTAATTTTTCAATAAATGGTGTTGATATAATTTTAAAAACAAATCCGATTTTTTAGGGACACCCAGCTCACCCCCACCCTCACTCTTCCAAATCTTATTAAAGTATGAATAGAAACGGACAGTTGCCATATATTCTAATCATTTATACAGACAGACTGAATTTCAGAAGTTATAGCTTTGATTATGGAATTTAGTTTTTATTCTATACGAATGCTGCAATGTAGTCTGGATATTGTACACAAAACCTGGGGGGGCGATATCCCCAGTATATGGGGGGGGGGTTTGAAAATTTATCCCCTAAAAAATTGTGCATAGCCCTTTTCTCAAAATAGTTAAGGAGAGAGAAGATATGAGTGTTAGATCATTTCTTCTTCTGTGATACCCCCCCCCCCTTCTACAACCTGTTCATTTTTTCCTACCCCTTGCTGATAATTTACGTGAATATTCAGTTTTCATTGAGATTTTTAACATTTGACACCTAGTTGCCTAACTACATATATTCTCAACTTTGAAACATTGTTAAACACTGCAAAATATTATATTTTAAGCTGAATATTGTTAAAATAAATTCTTATTTGAATTTATTTTCAGGTCAAATGATAAATATATATTTGCTAAAATGTAAATTTTGTGAAAAATCATATGCTTAAATGTAAGTATTAACTATTATCCCAGAAAAATAATATTTTAAATCACTCTTTAAACTCAATTTTAAACAAAATCCGATATGTTTTGATAATTTTTAAAATACGGGTGGTAGACGATTATATCAATACAATGAAGACGACTTTTTAATATAAGTTTTGATTGTATTACATCCGCCCAACGTTACATCAGTCCTACGATACTTCGGACCTACCTAGACGTGGTTTTTCACCTGCTTCAAGCTGTTGTTGGTCCGATGTACTGTAGGTCGCATACATACTTCATTTAAAAAAAGTTAGTGTATCCAACCTACTGTACAGCTCATTTGCACAGCTTTCTGAAGCTGGTTGCACTCTTCTGTACGTCGGATGAGCAACATTAGTAGGTCGGATGCACAAATTTAGTAGGTCGGATGCACAACCTTATTAGGTCGGATGCACAACTTTCGTTGGTCGGATGCACAACTTTAGTAGGTCGGGTGCACAACTTTAGTAGGGCGGAGGCAAAACTTTAGAAATCGGATGCACAACTTTTGTAGGTCGTATGCACAACTTTTGTAGGTCGGGTGCACAACTTTGTTAGGGCGGATGCACAAAAAAATAGTGTATCCGACCTACTGTAGGTCGGTTGCACAGCTTTCTTAAGTTGGTTGCACTCAATTCTGTAGGTCGGACGCACGATAAATGTCTTAACCTAACATAACCACATATAACGGCTATAACTTTGTTATTCGATAAATGTGGCCGCAGTGCTCGGCCCCCAACCTGCCCTAGCCACAGCGCTCAGTCCAGAAATTGTCTGAATCTAACCTAACCCCACATATTGTCTATCACTTGGTCGTTTGATAAATCTGGCTGCAGGGCTCGGCCCCTTAGCCTGTCTATCACAATTAGTCATTTTGATAATTGTGGCTGCAGTGCTCGACCCCCTAGCCTGTCCTAGCCTAACCTAACCCCACATATTGTCTATCGCTTGGTCATTTTGATAATGTGGCTGCAGCGCTCGGCCCAGAAATTGTCTTAACCTATCCTAACCTCACATTTTGTCTATCACTTGGTCATTTTGATAAATGTGGCCGCAGCGCTCGGCCCCCTAGCCTGTCAGAAATTGTCTTAGCCTAACCTTGTGCATCCGACCTATTCAAGTTGTGTATCCGACCTACGTGTGCAACCGGAACATCGATCCTTATGGTAGCTGCACTGTCAACTATATACTGAGTACTGACTATATCTTCAGTTCCTGCGTAGGTCGGATTAACAAAATAGAATGAACATCCGACCTACAGCTGTCGTAGGTCTGAGGTATTGTAGGACGGAAATGCCATAGAACAGAAGTAACATGAACGTTGTTTTCAAGCTTTTTTCAAATATAAAGTTTACAAGTAGTCAAAAAGAAGCTTTTTTAATGGATAGCTTCTCTTGACTTTGATGTTTATGTGTATTCATGCTGTTTAATAGCTTGAATTGAATCAAAATTTAAAGCAAAAGTCGTCTTTATTGTATTGATATAATCGCCTACCACTGTATACTGATCTATAAAAGTAATAGTGACTAAGAAAATGGAACCCTTCCATTTTAAATTATATTTATTTCATTGCAAACCAGATAAAACAAATTGCGTGCGTGCACAATCAAATTATTTGATAAAAGAAACTATAATCAAATAAATCCAACATTGTAAAATTGGACTGTCAAAAGACCATCCGATTAAAAAGTTCCATACCTGATTCACAATATTTAATAATCTTTTTGTTTTTCTATCTTGTTACTACTAAAGCCTGTGCTACTTCATAATCAGCGAATCCCTTTTACATCGCAACTGATAAAGATCAATATTTCTGCTTTGGTCTGAATTTTTAAACCAAGCTAAAAACATTCCCGTGGGTCTACCGAGTTCCCCAATCTAACTTTTTAAACAAATCGGCGAAAGGGTTCACGAGTTTTGATCGGACATACAAAGAAACAGAGATCACTACTTTATACATAGATTTTATATCCGTAAAGTCCTGACTCCTGAGTCCTCGTGTGCTAAATATGATATATGGATATTTCTAAGTACTCTGTCATGCTTTTAGGATTTACTTTCTCAATTCTCATCCTAGGTCAACCTTTCCTGATCCTTGTCCTAGTTCAACCTTTCCTGATCCTTATCCTAGTTCAAACTTTCTTGATCCTCATCCTAGTTCAACCTTTCCTTATCCTCATCCTAGTTCAACCTTTCTGATCCTTATCCTAGTTCAACCTTTCCTTATCCTCATCCTAGTTCAACATTTCCTGATCCTAATACTAGTTCAACCTTTCCTAATCCTTATCCTAGTTCAACCTTTCTTAATCCTTATCCTAGTTCAACCTTTCTTAATCCTTATCCTAGTTTAACCTTTCCTAATCCTTGTCCTAGTTCAACCTTTCCTGATCCTAATCCTAGTTCAACCTTTCCTGATCCTTATCCTAGTTCAACCTTTCCTGATCCTTATCCTAGTTCAACCTTTCCTGATCCTTATCCTAGTTCAACCTTTCCTGATCCTTGTCCTAGTTCAACCTTTCCTGATCCTCATCCTAGTTCAACCTTTCCTGATCTTTGTCCTAGTTCAACCTTTCCTGATCCTCATCCTAGTTCAACCTTTCCTTATCCTCATCCTAGTTCAACATTTCCTTATCCTCATAGTTCAACCTTTCCTTATCCTCATCCTAGTTTAACCTTTCCTTATCCTTATCCTAGATTAACCTTTCCTGATCCTTATCCTAGTTCCCAAGTTCAACCTTTCCTAGTCCTCATTCTAGTTCAACCATTTCTAATCCTTATCCTAGTTCAACCTTTCTTGATCCTTGTCCTAGTTCAACCTTTCCTAATCCTTAACCAAGTTCAACCTTTTCCTTATCCTCATCCTAGTTCAACCTTTCCTTATCCTCATCCTAGTTTAACCTTTCCGGATCCTTATCCAAGTTCAACCTTTCCTAATCCTTATCCTAGTTCAACCTTTCCTAATCCTCAACCAAGTTCAGCCTTTCCTAATCCTCAACCAAGTTCAACCTTTCCTAATCCTCATCTTAGTTCAACCTTTCCTAATCCTTATCCTAGTTCAACCTTTCCTAATCGTCATTATTGTTCAACCTTTCCTTATCCTCATCCTAGTTCAACCTTTCCTTATCCTCATCCTAGTTCAACCTTTCCTTATCCTCATCCTAGTTCAACCTTTCCTAACCCTCATCCTAGTTCAACCTTTCCTAATCCTTATCCTAGTTCAACCTTTCCTAATCGTCATTCTTGTTACTGTTTAATAAGCTGGGAAAAAGATGAATATCTGAATAGAAGACTGGATACAGGAAAATATCTTCAAAGTATGGTTAGGGCAGGTATTTTTATGATAAAGTATTCTACAGGGTTACCCATATAACTCGAGCCTGTAAAGACGACCTGAAACTCTTCCAATTTGACGATTAAGGTTAAGTTAAGTCTGTTGCCTTTAATATAATCTCTTCATCACTTATTCAATGATTAGACGAAAAAAAAAACACGTTTACATTTGCAGGGAATCGTTAATATCAGGAAACAGACAGTATAAATTCTGTACAATGGTCTCGGGTAACCCTTTATATTGTTAGGACATGTATATTTATAAACTATCCTCTATTGCAAGGGGTGTACGGTGTACACGGGGTTTTCTAGCAAAGTAAATTTCACGATTGAAATGGAGACATATTTTATTAAAACAATTCGAAAAAAAACACAAGCTAAGAATGGTCCTTTTGATTAAAAATAATCATTAACCTCTCAACTTATTAGTCTTCTTATCCTTCTCATTCGTATCATCATTTCATCCTTCTTATCCTTCTTATCTTTCTCAATCATATCATCAATGTTATCCTTCTTATCTTTCTTATCATCATTGTCATTCTTCTTATCCTTCTTATCCTTTTCATTCTTATCATCATTGTTATCCTTCTTATCTTTCTTATCCTTCTCATTCTTATCATCATTGGCATTCTTCTTATCCGTCTTATCCTTTTCATTCTTATCATCATTGTCATTCTTCTTATCCTTCTTATCCTTTTCATTCTCATCATCATTTGCATTCTTCTTATCTTTCTTATCCTTCTCATTCTTATCATCATTGGCATTCTTCTTATCTTTCTTATCCTTATCCTCCTCATTCGTATCATCATTGTCATCCTTCTTATCCTTCTTATCTTTCTCATTCATATCATCATTGTCATCCTACTTATCTTTCTTATCCTTCTCATTCTTATCATCATTGTTATTCTTCTTATCTTTATTCTCCTTCTCCTCCTCATTCTTATCATCATTGTCATCCTTTTTACCACTCTTATCCTTCTCCTTCTTATCATCATTGTTATCCTTCTTAACTTTCTTATTCTTATCCTTCTCATTCTTATCATCATTGTCATCCTTTTTACCAGTCTTATCCTTCTCATTCTTATCATCATTGTTATCCTTCTTATCTTTCTTATCCTTATCATCATTGTCATCCTTTTTACCAGTCTTATCCTACTCATTATTTTCATGTGAAAAACTGTCCTTTTTTAAAATGATCGGTTACCTGACAGCATATTTACAGGTTTTACAGGTTTAGAGGATGAAATAAACATATTTGATGATAACTACAACGATATCATGGGAGATCAGACCAGTCAAGGGATACAAGGGTCGGATTTCATAAACTTCAGAAGAAAAATTAAATGAAATTTCTAAAAATAAAAAAAATTCAACTTAATTTTGGAGACAAATTAATTCATTCGATAACGTAGGTTTAAACCTTTATCTTTTGCCAGAGTATACATTTTTCAACTTCTCCTAGTTCAACCTTTCCTAATCCTTATCCTAGTTCAACCTTTCCTAATCCTCATCCTAGTTCAACCTTTCCTAATACTCATCCTAGTTCAACCTTTCCTAATTCTCATCCTAGTTCAACCTTTCCTAATTCTCATCCTAGTTCAACCTTTCCTGATCCTCAACCGAGCTTTTTTGTATTTCGCTTTCCTGTATTTTCTTAAAGTTAAGGCGTAATTTTCTTCCTTTTTCCCTAACTTCCAAAACTTCACTAACTATCTTTCTTTCTTCCCCTAACATATTTTTTAAATAATCTTTGGTTCTCAGTTAATATTTTATCTGTTATTTCTTATCCTCCCCCCACCCCCTTATACTGGTTTAGATATACACTATACACTATACAGAGGAATAATCCTGTAAGATAAGCGCTTGACTATTTATATGGAGTGAAACCTGAACTTGTCATTGAAGCATCCCCCAACCCTACCCTTGCCCCCTACTACCTTCCTCCCATCCCTTATCCTACCCCGCTTTTCCCTGCTGTCTTATCCCCGCCAACTTATTCCTGTCATCCCTCCTATCCCCTATCCTACCCCTGTTTTGCCTGCTGTCTTATCCCCGTTATCTGATCCCCGCCATCTAATCCCCGCCATGTTATCTCTGTCATCTTATCCCCGCCATTTTACCCCTGTCAACTTATCCCTTCCATCTTATCACAGCCGCCTTATCCCGCCATCTTATCCCCGCCATCTTATCCCTGTCATCCCTCCCATACCCAATCCTACCCCTCTTTTCCTTGCTGTCTTATCCCCTTCATCTGATCCCCGCCATCTAATCCCCGCCATCTTATCCCGTCACCTTATCCCTGTCAACTTATCGCGGCCATCTTATCACGGCCGCCTTATCCCCACCATCTTATCCCCGCCATCTTATCCTTCCCATCTTATACCCTCAATTTTGTCCCCACCATCTGTCCCACCATCTTATCTCCGCCATCTTATCCCCTCCATCTTATCCCCGCCATCTAATCCCCGCCATTTATCCCGTCATCTTATCCCTGTTAACTTTCCCATCTTGTCCCCGCCATCTTATCCCGCCATCTTATCCTCGCCATCTTATCCCCATCATCTGATCCCCACCATCTGATCCCCGCCATCTTATACCTGTCATCTTATCCCTGTCAACCTATCCCAGCCATCTTATCACGGCCGCCTTATCCCCGCCATCTTTTCCCCATCATCTCCTTCCTCCATCTTATCCACGCCATCTTATTCCGACCATCTTATTCTTCCCATCCTGTCCCGCTATCATATCCCCACCATCTTGTTCCGTCATCATATCCTCGCCAACTTATCCCCGCCATCTTATCCACGCCATTTTATCCTTGTCACCTTTCCTATCTTGTCCCCGCCATCTTATCCCCGTCATTTCATCCCCGCCATCTTATCCCATCTTGTCCTCACCCTTTTAATATTTTATTTCCTTCGCTTCCTGTTCTGTGATCTATCTGTTGAATTTCTTGAAAACATCATCTTTTACAATTTTACAGGTTAAACTCTCTAGAGCACACATTTAACAGGGGGAAACCGAGGAATTATATTTTTATATAATACAGAATTCCGACCCTGACCTACCTTAAACACTCCCGTATATCTCTGTATACCTCTTTATACCCCTGTATACTCCTGTATACCCCTGTATACCCCTGTATACCCCTGTATACCCCTTTATACCCCTGTATACTCCTGTATACCCTCACTTTACCTCTGTATACTCCTGCATACTACTGTATACCCCTGTATACTTCTGTATACTCCTGTATACCTCTGTATACCAAAACCTGTATCCCCCTGTATGCTCCTGTATACCCCTGTATACCCCTGTATACTCCTGTATGCCCCTGTATACCCCTGTATACCCCATTTTTTGTAAACTATGAATATTCCTGTAAAATATATATATGAAGCCTAATGACCATCTGTACTAAAGTGACACTTGTAAAAACCTAATTATTAAGTTGAAACCTTAGAAACTATTCATTCAATAAACTAGAGAACCCCTTGAGTATATAATATATGCTAAACTGTGAATATATTAAAACTTTTACGTGTATCAATTAGTTAATCTCGGGTTAACAGTTCGGTTAATCCATCATTATTACGATTATAAGCGTAACTGAAGCCATAACATAGAATTTTAATTGTCTGAGCACTAATTAAACCAGTTAATATTTCACTCTCAAGCACAAAACTGAAAATTTTCTTTTAATTAAAAACTCATTTTTTGAAATAAATGGCTATTCAATTACAAAAACTCGTCTAAATTGCGACGATTGCATCGTGATTTTTCAAAGAACCGTTATAGATATCTAGTTTTGATTGTTTAAAGGTGATCTAGCAATATAATTTAAACTCTTTAATGTTTTGACAGGTCTAATAACAGAAATTAAAATACTTCTTAAACAATTTAATAAATAATTTCTTTAAATAACAACTATTAAATACAAAACGTTAGTATGGGATTTCACTAATACTTTTCATTCATACCACCAAGAAAAATTCTTGCTTTATCGGTAAAATTAGTGTTAAAATTATATATTTTGGTGACTATAAGACTAGATTCAAATTATATCATTATGTGAGTTATGCAATATAGTCGTATCTTGCATTTTAGATTCTTTTCATAAGCGACTAATAAGAGTCCAAAACTAAAGAATGCGCGAAATTAAAGTTATAGCATAAAAGTTCTGTAAAATAATGAGTTGCTACTTAAATATTAAACTTTCTCAATTTAACCCTGAAGGGAAATTTGAATTTCCCGGGAAAATTCTGAACCATTTAGAGAAAACATATTACAGAGAGATAATACATGACCATCGTTTATCAGCTGTTTTTAAATTTTAAATTATTTATGTAACCGAAAACAAAACATGATCCAAGTTACAACCGTTTTTCGGGTTTACATGCAAATGCGGGATTCAAGATTTTAACCCTGGGTTTACATTTTAACTCGTTGATTTTGGCGAGGTAAATATTTAAAATTCAGAAGTAGCATTTAAGCTGAAACTTAACATTTCATTGGAACTTTTCGTTCTTTAGTTTTAGACTCAGATTTTCCTTCATTTTGTAATATTGAAACAAAGATCGCAACTTTTTTTGTGGAGTTTAGTTAATCTTGAACGCTTAATATCCATATCAAATCCACTTTTTAATTTGAGGATCAATGCTTGATTCCTCATTAAAGGGTATCCATGCAAGATATCTAAGAATGATTAAATTAATTACATCTCAAAAGTTCTGACTTGTGAGATCGGAACTTTGATGAGGAATTAAATTAATCTGTAAATCGGCAAAAGATGGATTAATTATTTACATTTACCAGAACAGTTCAAATATCCATCATATTTTGTATATGAGAGTAGATATGAATTTATATATCTCACTGTGTTCGTCTTCTGATCTCAACTTTAACTTTTTCTTCTTTCGTGTTCTACGAAATTATTTCAAAATTGATATTTTCACATTTCCCCCACTATACCTCCACTACCTTGGGGAATATTCTTAGAAAAACAGGAAGCAAGAGTGGATGGGGGGGGGGGATTTGAATTTTCAATTCTGTATTTTAGGAATAAAAAAAATTCAAATTTTTATGTTTCGTATTATTTTAGATTTTCAGAGGAAGGTTATGACAAGATATAGAATAAAGGTATCTTACATATGTTCTCACATGATTTTTAAAAATAATTTTAAACCATAATTTTGTTGCAGTACACTGTGATATTTGGAGTATTGTTATGTACGAGCGTTTTCTATGTACTTTTAAAAAGTAGCATTGCTGTAAGGAAAAGGATATTCAGAAATTATTGTTCTTATCATTACTTTTGCTGTTATTATTATTATTTTTATTATTATTATTATTATTATTATTATTATTATTATTATTATTATTATTATTATTATTATTATTATTATTATTATTATTATTATTATTATTATTATTATNCGTAATTATTGAATATAAATTACTCTGTATATTAATGTGATATATGCAACCATATGAATATCATGACAACAATCGGAAATTTTCTTATATACTCCGCCAGGAGTCCTGAAAATAATCCTAACATAAACATAAACATAAATTGTATCAAATAAATTCTAAACAAAATCTTAATAATACTGCACTCTCACCTCAACTACCATACCTAGCCAACCTCTCCATGCCAAAGTTTATCGGGACTTGATCTATTTATATACTATGCTTGTCTGTTTGTATCCAGTAAACGTTAAAACAACTGAATTGATCAGGCCAACATATTGTATGGGATTCATTTGACCTTTATTGTTTAGATAATCTAAGCATTTAAACAGAAAATTTTGCGAAAAGAAGTTTTATTTTGAGAAGGAGGAAAAATGTGGACTTGAAGAGCAAAAACTAAAAGTTAAAATTGCAATTAGAAAACAAACAACATTTTTGAATGAACAATTTTATGTTAAACTTTTCAGTTTAGATCCTAATAGTTGTTTCCTACTCTTCATATAGAAACTAATACTGTAAAGGCCGAACTTAGTATTAGTATAGATCAACAGAGTATTAGTATAGATCAACAGAGTATTAGTATAGATCAACAGAGTATTAGTATAGATCAACAGGTTGAACAAAGTATCATTATACCTGAAAAGAGTGGAAATAAAGCTGAACAGAGGGGATATTATTTGGCTGAAAAAAGTGCACAACATGAGATACAGAGTACGCATGTAAATGAACAGAGTGGGAGAATGGCTGAACTGAGTGGGAATGTAGCTGAACAAAGTGAGAATGAAACTGAACAGAGTGGGAATAAAGTTGAACATAGTGGGAATATGGTTGAACCAGGTGGAAATGTAGCTGTACAGAGTGGTAATGTAGAAGAACAAGATGGAAATACAACTGAACAGGATGAAAATATAGTTGAACAGAGTGGATATAAAGCTGAACAGAGTGGAAATAAAGCTGAACAGAGTGGGAATATGATTGAACTAAGTGGAAATATAGCTAAACAGAGTAAAAATGTAGCAGAGCAGAATGGAAATAAAACTACTGAGCAAGATGAACAGGATTTGAATGAAACTGAACCAGGAAAAAATAAGATACAGAATAAAAATGAAAAAGATGTCAAACATTTTGAAGAAATCTTGCCACCAGGTCCTCCATCAAGTTCATTCTCCTCCTCATTATATTCAACCACATCCTCTTATTCTATCATTTCATCCACTGTGCTGGGCTCCTCAAGCTCTACAAACCTGATAGGAACAGACACTGGTCTTAATCAGGTTATACTTGATGATTGAATTACAGCGATAATATATATAAAGTGGACTGAATGTCTTCTTCGCACTGTATTCAAACATAAAGACCGTTAAATATATATATTGTTATAACTGATTTATAAGAGCTCATTGATAGAACAATTACAAATTTCGAGAAGCAAAGCAGAAACGACAATCATCCCGCTTTACATTGATTAATTTCATTACTCAAGAACATATTATATGTTTGAGTTCTGTAGAGAAATCTTCCCCCAATGGCTTGTACTTAACCTGTTTAAATCTTAAAAGTGGGGTCGATGATGTAAATTTTTTTTTCGTTTTTCTGTTATAAAATCTGCAAGTAAATTTTTATAGAGCACAACTTAAAATCATCAATTTTCAGATAGTACGGTGGTAGGCGTTATATCAATATTATGAAGGCGACTTTCGATTTCAGTTTTGATTTATATCAAGCTTATAAACAGCATGGATTAACAAAACATGGAAACAGACAGAAGTTGTCAATGAAACAAGCTTTTCTTTAATTACTTGAAAACTTGTAATTAGAAAAAAGCTGGTTAACAATTAAAACTTAATAAAAAAGTCGTCTTCATTATATTGATATAATTCCTGCATGTATTACTATAATTACTCAGGAGGAGGGGACGGATAGAAAAGAGGAAAAGGACAAACTAGAGAAAGTAAAGGAAGAGAATGAAGGTCTAGACGAATTAGAGCGTGATAAGGTAGGAATTAAAGACGTTGATGTTGAACAGTTTCTGGAAGAAAACGCTATGAGAAAACAACATCTACAGGAGCAGTGCGCTAAGGAACAGTTGCAATCGATAATTTATGTTTAGGCGAGTTTCAGTGCATCAGGACCTATTGTCTTTAGTTACTTCTTTTTTCCCTTGACACAGCAGTCCCATTCTTTGAAGTTCATTGTAGTCCCAGATCAAGGACTTTATACTATGTTTAGATAAGTGGGTCAGAGATTTACTGCTCCCCCCCCCCCCCTTGAATAGGCTACTGAGTACTGATAAATTTTAGCTGTTTATTTGAATCATAAATGATTATTAACTGAAGATAAATATCCACCATTTTAAAAAGAAAAATTTTTATGAAAATCCTTGGAACAGAAAGGAATTGAGTCTTTTTCACAAACTCTGATTTTCTTATCCCTATATCTTTGGATTCCAATGTCGTAAACATTTGACATTTCAAGCTATGACTTTTGTTAAATAAATAATATAAGTTTGAAAGTTTCGGACATTGGGTTCCAAAGATAAAAGAATTAGAAAATCAGAGTTTGTGGCAAAGACTCAATTTCTTTAACATTTTGAAATTAACTTCAAGTTTTCGATTTTAAACTCTGTTCATAATATTGCTTATTATGCTGTAAGGTTACGTCAGGACAGATAACAAATAAAATGGCAGCTCTCGTAAATTCTACAAATGCGCAGACCCACATGTTCACATTATATCCGGAGAAAAGGTAGGTTACTTTAAAGGGACTGTAAATGTAATTTAAAGCGACTCTAGCTCTATGTCCGATCTACAACGGTATCCATTAAACTTTAACATTTATAGCTAGAAATTGAGTGCCGACAAACTTAATACAGTGGATTGCAAATGGCCGAAGGGTCACTTGAAGTCCATAAAATCTTGTTATCTCATCACTTATTACTAAACAGTTGTTTTGAACAGAGTTCTAACCTGTTAAAAGGATCAGGGGGGTAATCTAGCCAGGAGGGGGATGTATGAAGGTTTAGGAGCGGGATTAAGGGATGATCTGAGCAGAAGAAGAGGGGGGTAGGGGGTAGGTGTGATGTATGATGTAAGAAATGCTAATTAAATCATTACTATCTATCAACCAACAGGACCAGGGCTGTATACTTTATCATTACTTTGTTTTATTTATACAAAAAAATATCCAATTGAAAACAAATAAATACCAATTTATTTAAATTATAGAATCTTCAAATTACCCCTTGTTTTCACCGGGAAAAGTACAGGGGTTAACCTTCAATGATTGATGAGTGAATTTCTTATTTAAGATTGTATAACTTTAAGTTTACAAGGTTTATCTCATCTAATAAAATCATAATAAGAAATTGTGGTTCAAGTCAAAACTTTAGTCAGTTTTAATGCATAATATCAGCCAAGAAAGGTACTGTAGAATGTAGATGTAATTTCAACTGAAACTAAATTTTTAGAGATTCATGGATAAGCGGATTGAGGATTTTCGCAGATTTTGCAGAAGAAACTTTTCAAAATTAAAATAATTTTAATATAAAAACGAATATACATTCTATTTGTCGCACACAAAAAAAGTTTAAAGGGTACCGTTGTGGATCGCATCTGAACTGGTGACTTAATTTCTTAATTTCTAAAGGAATTGAGTCTGTACCACAAATCCTCATTTTCTAATCCCCATATCTTTGCAACCCGGTCAATGTCGAAGGCCTTAGATATTTCAAACCATGTATTCTGCTATATAAAATTTAAAAGTCAGGTTGCATAGATATAGGGATTAGAAAATTTGAGTTTGTGGCGAAGACTCAATTCCTTTAGAAATAAAGGGTTAAGTGAAAGTAAGTCACCAGTTCATAGAATTTTTTTTGTTCCTATCTTCATTTTAACTATTTTTCAGAATTGCATGGTGCAGAACTCCGAAGGTAATATTTTTCATATTTCTATTCTTTTTTCCTTTTCAGAGAATTTTTTATCGTAGTTTTTACAAATTCATTTTATAAATGTTCGAGAGTAGAAAATTAGATTTGAAAACAGTTCTTCGGAAAAACTCAATCAAATTGAAAGTTTCAGACTTTTCAAAAAATCAAGAGAATGAATAAAGACGTTTCCCGAGAGACTATTTAATAGATTGGATTGTATTGGAATGGCTAGTGGGGGGATGTAGAGTTAAAGTTTCTGTAAAGTTTTCTATGATTCAAATAAATGCTGAAATGTAAATATGAATTAATTTATTAATCACATCTCTTACGGCGTATTTATAAAATTATATGGTTTTACATAGATTGGTACAACCACGTGGTCTAAAATATTTCTCCAGCTTTATAAAACTGATCCTATGAACACAAAGTCGCTTCATAACACGGTAAGAAAGGAATTGAGTCTTTGCAACAAAATCAGATTTTCCCATACCTATTTCTTCCCAACCTAAGGCCTTAGATATTTCAAGCTTTGAATTCTGTTGGATCAAATAATCTAAGTTTGACATATCAAAGGTTTATATTGTTAGGTTGCAAAGATATAGGCATTAGAAAATTTGAGTTTGTAATTGTCTACGTTATTTAGTTTCAAAGGTTTTATAAATTGAAAGAAATTTTTTCTACTGTATTTTGTACTATACAATTTAGGGTTGCTTCGCGCCCCTTCTTTTCCATTATCTGTATAGAGAAACCACAGTTTAAAACAATACATTTTAAAGAGAAGAAGATGGATTTTAAAAAGCTTATAATGGTACCGTTGTGAATCGGACATGCAACTCAATGAATGAGAGTCACTTGCAAAAAAAAACTTTGAAAAGATTTTTTTTAATTATAAACAACACTCTTGTATGCCCAGTCCTTTAGTGCCTGATCCAATCAGGGTTCAGTCATGTGTTTGGTGTCTATTCTGAACCAATATAAATTGCATAGCGGTAACATCTATCTTTCTATTTATCTCATTATCCAATTAGAGATGAATCCTTATATCGGCGCTATACACTAAATGGAAATATTTACTTCTACTGAAACTATAGTGACAAAGTAAATAGAAAAAAATATTTAGATGAAAAAGATTGAAAAGAAATTAATATCTCGGTCTGGGAAAACCAGTGTTGTACTCTCCCTTCGATCCAATCAAACCAGAAAATATAAAAGTAAGAAGAATTTATTTTATAACAATTTTTTATATTCTCTATTTCTATCCAAAAAATGTGGCTAAGGATTATTTATTGATTTTAAAATGCTGGCAACTGATGTAATTATAATTACAAATAACAAGATCCTTGAAGAAAGGAATTTAGTCTTTGCCACAAACACTGATTTTCCTATCCCTATATCTTAGATTATTTATCTAACAGAATTCATAATTTGAAATATCTAAGGTCTACGGCATTGGGTTGCAAAGATATAGAGATTTGAAAATCAGAGTTTGTGGCAAAGACTCAATTCCTTTGATAATAAGAAAGATAGATGAAGACAAGGCTTCCACTGTTTCCGGTTTCCCACCGTACTTATTTGTTGGGCCATACATTGATAGGAAGACGACATTTTAGAAATATATATACTGTACCGAGACAAGTTGTTTTACTAGACAATTATTAAAGCACTAATAAAGTGAAATGGGTCTGTTTACACTACTCAATAACTGTGTCTCATGTTCAAATAGTTCATTAGACTATTTAAATTCATAACTTGAGTCTTTCTATTTCAGAGTTGTCATATTATCAATGTACGTTCTGAATATTACAGTTTATAAAATATGATCATATTAATCTTTTTTTTGCCAAAATTCTGTTTTTTCTTGTTAATTGTAATAAGAGAATGAATTTAATATATTTGAACCGATTAAAATTTGTTCCGTAAAATAAAATGCTTCCAATCTTGAAATTTATTAATGCTGTTTAATTCCTCATGAAGTTTTGGGGGTATTCAACAAATTTTTTATCATTTCCTTTCCAATTAATTTTAATTTTTTGTTTTGTCTAGGCATTATAGCAGCCCGGCATCCATTTGATAGATTATATTCAGCATTCAAGGATAAAATATTGGGAAGAAGGTGAGCTTTTAACAAACAACAGAGTTCAAAACTTTTATTTTCTGAATCAATCAATTCCTGTTTGATATCCTGTGATCGGAAACCCGGCTGGGATCAACTAAAATTAAGGGATCAAGAACTTTTTCATCAAATTCAAAAGTTGCCGCTGTAGATATCTAGATCAAGCGCTATTCTTCATAAAGTTTCAACCTCTGTTTATATAGATATCTAATTGATAAAAGGAATTCTGCTAATATCATACTATGTTCATGGTGTCCATTACACATTAAATATTGAAATTAAAAAAATGTAAAAATAATGGTCAACCAGACCTTCATGAAATTTTTGAATTATCGCATTATTGTCTTACTAAAGTTTAGAGGATTTTAACAAGAAAATGAAAAAAATCTAAAACATATCTAATATATGAGATATATATTATATATATATATTGAGATAACACAAATCACACTTTTTTACTCACCCGGCTTGGAAAGAACATTTTCTAATAATGACATTTCAGTTTACTAGTTTCCAATTATTATTTGTGACTTTAATATTCAGAATAAGAATGTATGGAGTGAATGATATGAGGAAGAAACCAAAGTTTTCTGACTTTATTAAGAAAGTTGTGAACTTTAAAGGTCGTTTTAACAGGTAAACTGTATATCTTCATTCGGGCCCAACACGTTTCCATAACAAACGTTAACATATTGTATTATGCAAAAATGTTATTATAGTATACAACTAAATTACTGTACTATGCAACAAAACTATTGTATCATACAGCAAAGTTTTTGTATTATACAGCAAATTTATTGTATGACACAGCAAGGTTATTGTATTATACAACAAATTTATTGCAATATACAGCATAGTTTTTGAACTATACAACAAAGTTATTGTATCATACCGCAAATGTATTGTATTATACAGCAAAGTTATTGTATTATACAACAAAGTTATTGTATCATACAGCAAAGTTATTGTATTATACAACAAAGTTATTGTATTATACAACAAAGTTATTGTATCATACAGCAAAGTTGTTGTTTCATACAGCAAATGTATTGTATTAAACAGCATAGTTATTGTATTATACAACAAATTTATGGCATTATACAGCAAGTTATTGTAATATACAACAAAGTTGTTCTATCATACATCAAAGTTATTGTATAATACAACAAAGTTGTTGTATCATACAACAAAGTTATTGTATTATACAACAAAGTTGTTGTATCATACAGCAAAGTTATTGTATTATACAACATATTTATTGTATTATACAACAAATTTATTGTATAAGAAAGCAAAGTTATTGTATCATACCGCAAATGTATTGTATTATACAGCAAAGTTATTGTATTATACAGCAAAGTTATTGTAATATACAACAAAGTTGTTCTATTATACAGCAAAGTTATTGTATTATACAACAAATTTGTTGTATCATACATCAAAGTTATTGTATTATACAACAAAGTTGTTGTATCATACAGCAAAGTTATTGTATTATACAACAAAGTTGTTGTATCATACAGCAAAGTTATTGTATTATACAACAAAATTGTTGTATCATACAGCAAAGTTATTGTATTATACAACAAAGCTATTGTATGTATTATACAACATATTTATTATATTATACAACAAATTTATTGTAAAAGAAAGCAAAGTTATTGTATCATACCGCAAATGTATTGTATTATACAGCAAAGTTATTGTATTATACAGCATAGTTATTGTATTATACAACAAATTTATGGCATTATACAGCAAAGTTATTGTAATATACAACAAAGTTGTTCTATGATACAGCAAAGTTATTGTATCATACAACAAAGTTGTTGTATCATACATCAAAGTTATTGTATTATACAACAAAGTTGTTGTATTATACAACAAAGTTATTGTATTATACAACAAAGTTATTGTATTATACAACAAAGTTATTGTATTATACAACAAAGTTGTTGTATTATACAACAAAGTTGTTGTATAATACAACAAAGTTATTGTATCATACAGCAAAGTTATTGTATTATACAACAAAGTTATTGTATTATACAACAAAGTTATTGTATCAGACAACAAAGTTATTGTATTATACAACAAATTTATTGTATTATACAACAAAGTTATTGTATCATACAACAAAGTTAGTGTATTATACAACAAAGTTATTGTATCATACAGCAAAGTTATTGTATTAAATGACTGAGTTATCGCACCTAACTTAAGAGACTGGACTGTTTTAATTTCAAGTGGCTCTTTATGTACTTAGGGGGATGACTGATTCACATTATAGTACCCTTTAAACCTCTATCTGATCAATAATTTGAATCTGATCAATCTCTCTAAATGGAGAGTCCAACGATGTTACGTTCACATTTCTTTTTATTATTTTTTGTGACTCTTTTCTTTGAATTAGCGTTTGGCAAACATAAAAAATGTAAAGGAGTTGAGTTTTTGCCACAAAGTTTGATTTTCTAATCTCTAAATCTTTGTATCTTTGCATCAAAAGATTGCAAAGATATTGGAATCAGAAGATTTTAGTTTGTGGAAAAAACTCAATTCCGTTTTAAAAAGTTTTGGCATTTAAAAAAAAATAACTACACAAGGTTATACCAAAAAGGGTATATTTACTGTGGAAATAGTTCATAGTTTAAATATCAATATCTGCCACTGTTTAGAAGGCGTTTCGTCGTGTGTTTAAATATGAAATCCCTTGCATGAAATATAATTTCAAGTCATATGCGTTTTCGTGGATTTTTACTCGATTTTTCGACCCTTAGGCATTGGCGACCTAACTGGATGATCTGTAATCCTTGTGTTTATGAATTTGATTATATTCTCAAAATGGAATCCTTCTCAACGGACTCAGCAGCAGTACTTAAACAGGTTTTATTCGAAATATTAATAATTATCAATCTTCGCTCGGACAAATTCGAGTTTCTATCCCGGCCATACATTGACTTGGTCTAGTATTGTACATAATTAAAAACAAGTACACCTGTTTGGGGAAAACAATAATTTTAATCAAGAAAACTTTTTCTCAAAACTACTTCAGAATCTAAATTTTTTGAAATCATAAAACTGCAAAGGAACTGTGCCCAAAATCTAATTTTTTAATCCCTATATCTTCGCAACCTCACCAACGAAAGGAATTGAGCCTTTGCCTCTAACTCAAATTTTCTAATCTCTATATTTTTGCAACCTGATGGTGTAAATCTTTGATATTTCAAACTCAGATTATTTCATCTAACAGAATCCACAGTTTGAAATATCTAAAGTCATACTACATTGGGTTGCAAAGATAAAGCCGGATTAGAAAATCAGAGTTTGTGGCTAAGACCCGTTATTCCTTTTTCAGTCCCCCTTCATTTTGATTGATTTCTTATAAATGTCGATTAATCGAATTTATGTTTGTTTGTTTACATTTTGCTACGTCAGCTGGGTGTAGGAGAAGTATCTGAGATTGATAAAATGAATACTGTTGCTAATATCAAAAGGAACCCTCTCAACTACACACAACTACTCGGTAAACGCATCTTATTGTTTTAAACCAGTACATATGTCAATAATCATGGAATTTGTAGAAGAACAGTGGAAGGGGGGGAGCAGGGGGAAGGAGCAGCTTACGATATTTCATTTCCAGCTCATGGCAAAAAATTCCTCCCCCTTGAATAAATTTGTTCTGAATGTAAAAATATTTGAAAAACAAAAAGACAACATTTTTTTTTCTCTCCTCAGAATTTCACTTAATGTACTCGATATAATTAACCTCTAAAACGCAATGTACTCGATATAATTAACCTCTAAAACACAATTTACTTGATATAATTAACCTCTAAAATACAATGTACTCGATATAATTAACCTCTAAAACACAATGTATTCGATATAATTAACCTCTAAGACACAATGTACTTAATATAATTAACCTCTAAAACAAAATGTACTCGGTATGATTTACCTCTGAAACACAATGTACTCGATATAATTAACCTCTAAAACAAAATGTACTCGATATGATTAACCTCTAAAACACAATGTACTCGATATGATTTACCTCTAAAGCACAATGTACTCGATATAATTAACCTCTAAAACACAATGTACTCGATATGATTAACCTCTAAAACACAATGTACTCGATATAATTAACCTCTAAAACACAATGTACTCGATATGATTAACCTCTAAAACACAATGTACTCGATATGATTAACCTCTAAAACACAATGTACTCGATATGATTAACCTCTAAAACACAATGCACTCGATATGATTTACCTCTAAAGCACAATGTACTCGGTATAATTAACCTCTAAAACACAATGTCCTCGATATAATTAACCTCTAAAACACAAATTTTGTATTTTCATTCCACAAATTCTGAGTCCAAATCTGCTTTTCTTTTCAAATATTTTCTTTGATTTGTTCCATTTAGAAAATGTAAGTTCGCAGGATCTAGGAAAATTGCTTGATCTTTATTATCTTGACTTCATACTATTTGGATATGATATCCAGGAGTTTTTAAACCTAAAACACGCTAAGGTGAATTTTTTTAATTGGTGAAAACTATTTTTAATCTTTTTTATTTATTTCTAGAAAGAGAAAGAAGAGAGAGAAGAGAAAGGCAAAGAACGTATATATGTTAAATCTGAATAATTAATATTCTCAGTTATATTAACTATTTACCAGTTGTAGTATCAGTTATATTAACTAATAGCTGAATTGCCCGGTGTTGCCCGTGGAATTTTAATAACTTTTTTTTTTAAATTTGAAGGAAAAAAATCTAGTTTAAAAAATTTGAATGTTGAAAAAAGTAATTTCTATTTTTTTAGCCTATGTTACCCCCACGGTAACCCTGTTCCCTAAAAAATTTCAGCTAATATGGTTTTGCTCATATGAACCTATATAGATTAAATTATCAGTAAGATACACTGGTATATTATCAGTTAATATTACACTTATTCGAGATTTATGTTAAATCATGAAATATATGATACACTTTACAAACTTTTACTGTGTCAGCTGTAATAATTGTTAAAAAAAAAAAATATATATTTAACATTTTTTTTATCAAAAATGATAATTGAGTGTTTGACAGAAACTCCGATTTTCTACAATTTTAATATTTATTTTTTAAAAACAGTTTTAAGGTTTAACGTTCTTAATGTTACAAGATAACATTAGTTTTACATGATCAATGTTCAACACTGGTATATTAACATATTTTTAAGTTTGGTATAATTTACATTGTAAGTTTGCTTTCGATATTTCAGTCTCTGGATTGCTTATTATCCTTAAGATTTAAAAGATTCTTTTAAACTATGATTTTGTTGTCCCTATTTCTACAGATTAGACTAGCATATATATTAATTGACTGAATGAATGAAAAAACGTACTGAGATATAACAAGAGTTGCAAGAGTAAATAAAATATATTTAATTAAAGTATTTAAACATATTCAAACTTCTCTCAGACTTCTCAGACATAAATATGAAATTGATTGCATTTGCAATTAAATATAAATTCTAAACTTTTTTATTATCATACTAATTTATTTCGATTAATATAAAAGAATTTTGATTTGGTTAGTTTAGTAGAACTTTGCTAATCTAATTTAAATAATTAATATCAAAGAAGGAAGGGAACAGAAAATAAAGAAATATTAAAAATGGAGGAGTGGGGGGGGGGGGGGGGGAGTTAAAGAAATATAAAAATGGAGGAGGGGGAACAGAAAATAAAGAAATATTAAAAACGGGGGAGGGGAAACAGAAAATAAAGAAATATTAAAAATGGAGGAGGGGCTGAAAATAAGAAATGTGAAAAATGGAGAAGGGGCAGAAAATAAAGAAATATTAAAAATGGAGGAGGGGCGGAAAATAAAAAAAATGTTAAAAATGGAGGAGGGGGGGGGGGGGGCAGAAAATATATTCAATTAGTGAATATTTAAATCGGTCAATAACTCTTCATAGCAATTTTACTTAAACAACCGGGTTTTTATTTTCATGTTTTAAATCCTCGAATCCCTAATCACTCCTATATTATCCTGACACCTAAATAGTAAGTTATATAATTTACCATTCAAAACTATTTTATTCATCAACATTTACTAAATCTGTATGAAATATATCTGTGGATCTGATTATTTTCAAGTTTCCGAGTTAAGGATCCTAATCAACAAATCAACTAATTATTTAATCAACTAGCCAACAAATCACCTTATCATCGAGGCCCCGCTTAAGTTTCAACATTTCAAACTGCCTGATCTAAGACAATCTAGCATGGACGTTGTTAATTTTCTCCAACAGGATCATATCCATCTAATCAACTAATCAACTAGCCAACTAATCAACTAATCAACTAATCAACTGGCCAACTAATCATCGACGCCCCGCTTAAGTTTCAACAAAGATATATATTTTTGGAATTATACGACCAAAATTTGGCCGACCATATTTTGTGATTGTTTTTTGTATAATTATACTTTTATTAAGTTAGCAATAAATCCCGGTAACTATTTTTTAAGATGAAAGACGATCTCTAATTCATCTGTCGATGGCAATACATTCCGCTTCTTTGATAGATATTCCTGTATATAAATATAGAACTGGTATTGTGGGGTTATCAAGGTACAGATAATACCAATATCTTCTGAATATCTCTATAAAAGATTGCTGAGTTATTCATATCTATCTTTTTATCTATCTATATATCTATATATATATCTATCTATCTATCTTTATCTGTTTATTTTTTCAACCTATCTATCTAATCTATGCATATGAATGTCTATTTGTTTATCTATCTATGCAGGCCAAAAAATAAAGCATAATTTAAAAAACCGATTTATCAATTTCTGTTTTTTATGGATTTTCTGTTTTATATCATTCAATTTACCATTTTTCATGATGTCATATTCCTTTTAAATTTCTTTTTAGAAAATAATTAATTTTCTACAAAGCATTAGTTAAGCACACAGATCCAGGTAGATCTACTTTTAAAATCTTTTTTTCAGTAATTGGGAAATCCTGATCGAGAAAGAGAAATAAAAGAAATAAAAATCCTAGATATTTCACATAAAGTGTCATGAAGGTTTTTGTCGTACAAAAACTAGATAATACTTTATCCTTTTAACGTTTCAAATTTTCCAGAACAAGATGCTTGTCACTCCTCATATTTGATTTGAAACTGTGGAAAACTGCTGAATTTTCACAAGTTTATTAAATTATTCCTTTTGATGTCGATTCAATCTTTCAACTTTGAAATTAGCTCAGAGTTAAGTTCTATTTAAATATATTTTAGATAAATTCTAGAACAAGAACAAAATTGGAAACATAATTCAAAACTTGGTGTTGAAGTTACAAACCACAATCAAGTTGATGCAATTATTATTTCCACATTTGGAAAAAACATATTTTGGTCTGGGTTGACCCTTCTTAGTTTCTGAGACTAATTTCTGTCAGAAGGATTCGAAAAATGGAATATCTCATTGTGGCGTACACAGGTTTACTCACAAAGGATAATATTTTAGAGACGACTGTACGGAATGTGTAGTGTCTGTTTCCTTATATTTATTATTCTCTTCAACTTGCTTCTTTCTTTCCCCAATAAGCCATGAAAAGAATTCAATTAAGGCAGAATGATTAATTTAACTTTTGAATCATCAAGTTTTAAAAGTATCAGGTCATCTTGACAGTCTCATCGGTTGTTTGTACAGATAGTTTAAGTAAAACAAACAGCAAAGAAATTGAGTCTTTGCCACAAACTCAAATTTTTGTTTACTATATCTTAGCAACCATGATGGTGTAAACCTCTGTTAAACTTAGACTATACATTGGGTTGCATTTGACATTGGGTTAGATATAGGGATAAGAAAATCAGAGTTTGTGGCAAAAACTCAATTTCTTTTGTAAACAAATCTCTAGCTGCATATTCCTGGTCACAATATGAGAGTCGAGCCTCGGCCTAATATAGATTAATTATATTAACAGATAGGATAATAGATGTCGTCTTTTCAATATTTATGTGTGTTTCGTTCACAATAAGCCCAAAATAACTACGCGTAGTCGGTGTAGAAAAAGACAGAGAGAGAGCCTGTTCTACGCCGACTACGTGTAACTCTTTGGGATTTTGAACGAAACACACAGAAATCTTGATAAGACGACATTTAGAGTCCTATCTGTTATTTTAATTTATCTATGCTGCCTAACCAATCAGTTTATGAAAACTGTTGTTTGTTTACAATAAACTAGTTTGTAATAAATGTAAACAACCATATTATTATCTTTTTGTATATCTATGTGCAGTGTAATGATATAATTCTGATTACTAAATTTAAACAAAAAATATATTTGAAAAGGAATTGGGTTTTGAATAGAAGTTTAGAAAGTTATTCATCCATGCAATGTTTTCACAATTGTGAAATTCAAATCATTTGAAATGTTGTTGAGAGAAACTAAATCTGTAAGTATCTTCAAACGAAAGTTTTTTTTCAAACATTTATTTTGTGTTTACTGAAAATAAGATGTGTATGGATGAACTAGGTCAAAATAAACGTTATTTCTTTCTTCAATTCTAAAAACCATTCTTGAAATAGTTAAATTATTGATTTACGATTTACACCTAGGTCCCATAGTCATTCAGAATCGGATAAACTAATCCGGTTTTAAATAAAACTGTAGACACGTCCGATGCACAACGGTGCCTTAAAAGTTTTGTCTGTTCAAGAATACCTGAGATATTCATTATATCTTCCATAATATTGATAAATAAGCTAGAAGGGTACTACACTGTGAATCGGACATTCCCCTTCACAAATCGAAGGCCCTTGAACGTACCCCAAGGAAAGGGAAGAAAAAGGAAGAAAAAGGAAGAAAAGGGAAGACAAAGAAAGAAAAAGGAAGAAAAGGAAGACAAAGGAAGAAAAAAGAAGAAAAAGGAAGAAAAAGAAAGAAAAAGGAAGAAAAAGGAAGAAAAAGGAAGAAAAAGGAAGAAAAGGGAAGACAAAGGAAGAAAGAAGAAGAAAAAGGAAGAAAAATGAAGAGAAAGGAAGAAAGAAGCAGAAAAAGGAGGAAAAAGGAGGAAAAAGGAAGAAAAGGGAAGACAAAGGAAGAAAGAAGAAGAAAAGGGAAGAAAAGGGCAGAATTAGAAGAAGAAAACAATATTAATATTCTCGGCTGGCATTTTTTCTATTCACATTCCCAGATATTGAGTATTGCATATGAACACTAAGTATAACAAACCGGGAGGGGGGGGGGGCATTGACTGCAATGAAAGGCCGGTTGCATCAATTTTCAAGAATTGAAATGATTTAAAATACTTTCCCTTTCATGATCACAATAGTTAAAATGAGTGTGAACATGATCCGGAAAAAAATCTAAATAAATTTAGTAAAATCTTTTTTTCATTCAAATTTAAAATTACTATACAAACGATAATTTTTCACCCCATGTTCTTCCTTGAAGGGAATCATTGTAAAAATAATTTCAAAACATGTATGTATGTCAACCATACCTTGGCTTGCGATTTTACCTTAATAACTTTTGTAGCTATGACATGTACATTTAAGAGCTATAAAGCACTTGTTTTTAGCTTTAGTTTCAAATAAGTAATTGGCAAAATTCTCATCGAATTTCGCATGAGAGCTTGCAAACTATGGATCGCAGTGCACTACGCACTGGGATCCACAACCGTAAGAATGATAATTTTTAACAAGGCATATTCTGGAAAAGAAAAAAAATATTTAAATCATTTTCTTTACGCTAAAAATACATTCCGAATCAAAAAGTCATTGGATAATTTTAATCAATTATTTCATTGTCAATAGTTAATTTTTTCCCATAAGTCTCCAAAATTTGTTTGATTTAAAAAAAATACATTATATGCAAATATGTCCTGCATGTAAAGTAAACAGTAAACATTATTGTGTTATAAATTCGACTTTAACCATTTTTAAACAGAATGTAAATCTGATTTTATTTGATTCTCCATTAATTGATGTATATATAATTTTCTATTTGA